AAAAAAAAAAAAAAAAAAAAAAAAAAAAAAAAAAAAAAAAAACACATCATAGTAAAATTAATACCTTCTCAGCTTCGCATCGAAGCTAAAAGGTTTAATGTTTAAAATATCAATTGATTTTTATTTAACAAAATATTTCACGAATTGTTATGGTTTAACTGCCAGTTGTGAATTTGTTGTAATGTTGTAATGATAGAAATAAGGAAAATAATAAAGTTGGGGTGTTTAGGATTTGATCAATAGGTTAGTATCGAGGTTCTATCGGTGTAGAGTCCGGAGATTTAGAACGATAAAAACAAGTAGATATAAAATGAAAAAAGTCTTATTATTTGTTGAGGTTTAATAATGTAATTAACTAGCACAATAAATATAACGCTGAGACATTCTTGAAGTGGTCTGTGACCTTCTTTCTGACACTCAGTGGATACATCAGATAAGTTAATCATTGATGATTATTTAAGGAAGATATTTCATCGAGATATTTTTGAAGTGACATAAGGTATGAATGTATTTTTATTGTGACAAAATAAACATTACATGATTTTTATTTATGATAAGACACATGATTAATAAAAAGTTGACATATATAAAATTAATAAGACAATGTGTTCTGTAGTGTAAGTATTATGATAGATAAATTATTTATTTGTATTCAAGTAATATAAAATATAAATCATATATTTTTTATTGAAAATTTAAGATGCGTAATACAAGGCATTGGACATACTATGACACTATGTAGGATTTACTTCAATTTTGGTTAACATTCTAAATCAAATTTTTTTTTTTCTTTCTATGTATTCCACTAATTTTAAATTTAGCATATATATTTTGTCTCTTATTTGAGTCGTAAAATGTTGTTCTGACTCACCTCATAATGTAATAAAAACTTTAAAAACCTATTTTTGTAATTAGTTAAATATTTGAACAAATAGTTACGTCAATTCGTGAAACATAGATTTACTTATATAAATATAAATGTGATGGAAAAGTAATTTATTAAAAAAAAAACAACAATGTTTATAAAATTTCAAGATTTATGCATGTTTTTTTTTAATATCAATAATGTAGATTTTTTAGTTACGCATTAAGACAAAAAATGATATTTTTAAAATCCTCAGAAAATTATCTATTTAATGGTTACAATGTCATAACTGGTAATTAAATCATAGAAAAAAGTTCTATTTAAATTTTTGATAAAAATATAGGTTAAAATTATTACAGAAGTCCCAAATTTTACGCAACTATTTTACAGCATTATTTAAACAAATTTGTAAAATTTTAAGAAAAAATTTTTTTTTTATTTTCTTATTAATTTTTGTGTGTGTATTTTTACTTAATTACTAATTAGTAATTATTATTGATAGGTAATTATTATCTCAGAAACTAAATTCTATGGGACAAATCTGAAACTAGATTTTGATAGCAGTAAAATTACATAAAACAGTAACAAACCATAGTAAAATCAACAAAACTTTATGTTGATAAACAGACGACAATAATTTTTTTTTAGTTAAACAAAAATTTTGCTAATACAATAAAAAGTTGAATAAGAAAACAAATTTTTTTTTTTTGTAACAAAAATATGACTTTAAAAAATATAAAAATTATGGACCGTATTTTTTTTATTGTAGGATCCATCTATTTATTGTAAGCAGCTAAATTTTTTTATTTTTTTGTAGTCCTGAGAAATTAACATCATACAGATATTCATTCATTTTTTTAACAAAAAAAAACTTAATATTTCATAACAACTTAAATGGCGAAAGCAATTAAAAGTATCATAAAATTCAAATTTATAATTAATGAACAAACGTTAAAGTTTTGTTTTTATTATTATTACAATTTAGGAAAACTAAAGTTATCTGAATAATAAAACTTTTCCTTAGATACTCTCTTTATAATCTTTACTTATTTGCTGATCGTTATACTTTGTATAATAGTGAGAGATTAAACTACTACATAGTCTAATTTGCCAACTTAAAATTTTAATCAGTACTGTATAAAACACTAGTATAAGTAAACACCATTACGTGCATTGATATTTTCTTAAATCATAATAACTGTATGAAACTTTAAGTATTATTATTTAAGCCAAGTCAACAAACTTAAATAAGAATAGCAATAAGTATAAAGAACGGCACTAAAATAATAATAATTTAATCCATTAAGCATTCACACAAAAGTAAATGTTTACTGTTTATTTCAAATATAAGTATTACAACAATAGTTAAAGTTTTTAATAGTACAAAAAAGTTTAAATAATAAACAATGTAAAGCATCTATAAAAAAAAAAAATTAAATCACCCTATTTTATTAAATTGTTATTATCATTAGTAAAAATTATAGTTTTAACAATATGTTTGTATTAATATCATTGTAATGAATACTCAACTTTTTCAAACAATAGGTTGGTTGGAAAAGTTGTCTAATTGAAAATGTTACAGAACACAAGTTCATTTTCCAACTATAAATGTTAACTTCTTAGACTTATTTTAAAAAAATGGTTACCTAGGAGTGAATATATTTTTTAGTCTTCATTACTAAATAAATGTTTATTAATTTTAAATAACCATTAAACTTTTAAAACGTACCCTAATATATATATATATATATTATTTTTTAAAATTAAGTTTTGATTAGAAGCGCATTATATTATTAAATTTATTTGAAAATCATTAATTTACGTTAAAAGAATATATAATTTATATAATTCACTGTACGTATTATGATATATAAAGAGTTTATGATTGTGTATTGAATTTAAGTGTAAAATCTACATTTATAACAATATTTTATATCATATAACATCAATAAAATTACATAAAAAATTTGAAAAAAATTATTTGAGTATATTATAATTCAATTTTGGTTTATACCAGAATAAATGGTAGTATATGCTCTTAAGAAGGTTTGGTTGATAATTACATATTACGGCTATATTTATACAGGGAAGACCAGCAAGGAATGATTAAACGGATTAAATTCAGTGAACATCAAAGGGATTCGAAATTTCCCGTGACTTTAAATAATGTTCATATATGGTACAATGCAGTTGAAAAATTCGTTAAGATTGCATACGATAATCAAGTCATGTCATCGTTTAAAATGAAACCAGGTAAATAAATTCAACAATATCAGGTCATTTTTTTCCACGCAGTTGAGCTTCCATAGATTAGAGCTATAGACCTCTAGGTTTATTTAAGTTATTTGTATGACTTTTTATTACAAACTCTTAAAGTAATACAAAAATAAAAGCAACTAGTTATATTAAGTGTAAGTTGTCTAGTTGAAATGACCTCTAAATGATTAGTCTCTAAAAATCTAATTGAGTCACTATGCATGTATCTTACTGATGATAAAACTAAATTTTATATTATTTATAGAATAATAAATAAATGATGTTTATATTTCTCAGGTGATATTTTGACTTTTGATAACCATCGTTTATTGCACGGCAGAAAAGGTTATGAAGGATCTAGATTGTTAATTGGTGGCTATTTAGATTGGGATATAGTTAACTCTAGAATACGAGTTTTGAAGTCTCAATTAAGCGATCAGATTTCTACAACAAGCTAATAAAATAAAATATATATTGTGTGTTCAACATGCTAACTCTTACAACTATACTAATAGTGTATTTATGTTATTTATACACATAAGCATGAGACTCTAAAAATTTAAATAAAGTATCATTTAAATTTATTTGAATGTAGACGCAATAAAAACGTTATATTTTTAGCATGTTAAAACAACACTAATTTTAAGTAAGTCTTTATTTTGTTAATGTGGCTTAGTCATACATTGAACTTATATCAGATAATAAAACATAAATGAATTATTAACAATCTATTTAAGCAATTATTAACTTTGTAAAAATAAAACTTATTTTTAATAGAAAAAAATAATGAATAAACAAAAAACAACAAAAGTTCTTTTCGTGCATAGATTTTACATGATATTTTTAATTTTTTGGAAGTGCCATTAAACCAAGTACTTTCCAGAAAATCACAAAAACATCAAAGATTACATTAAAAGAATACTCAAGGGATGCAATAGGAAGACTTATCATTTCGACACCTATCCAAATACAGAACCTTAAATAAAATTTACATATCACTTTAAAAATAATTTTATTATTTATTAATATGTTCTATATTATATTATATAAACATGATTTAAGTATGTTTATTTCTATTTATTTTAACGAAAACAATACAAATGAACTTAGATAATTTTTTATTTAACTAATTACATTCTATAAAATGTAGGTTGTGTACATTTAGATGTTATATCTAATGAAATATCAAATAGTTTTTTTTAATAATGTTTTATTAATATTTCTCAAAAGAAAATTAATTTCTCTTATACCTCTTATATCTGTGTCATATTCTGATGACTTAAGGAAACATACTTACAACTTAATAATTCGTACTCGAGAATGCTTTAGTTCTTATTTGCAAATAATTCATATTAAATATTAATTCATTAAATTAACTAATAAAAATTTCGTTTAAGTAAATTTAATAATGATTAGAGAACTTTCTTTTAATTTTTTATCATCATATTGAATAGTAATAATTCACAGTAAATACTTATTAACAAATAGTCTTGATTCTATTTTTATGTAATATTAAACTAAAATATTATATTAAAGTTAATAGGTAAAAAATAATAAGGAAGAATCAATTTTTGTTATCCAAGATCTAGTTCTCCCTTGTTCACACTAAGTTTTTCTTGTGTTAAAATGTAATTTTGAGTTTGGAATCTCAAGATTTATCAATTATAAACTTAATTGATCATAAAACACCGTGTTTTATGATACCGTACTTCTAAATTGCTGACTCCAGTTAATTAATTGATAAAATAAGTTATACTGTCTATGTACACCTATTATAATCCGTGTGCTTTGATGGTATATCAGAACTTATGCCCCTCCGGTTCACAACTTGAGTTATTAGTTATTGAAGTCATCTCATACATAATTTGAAATAATGCACTGTAAACACGGAGTACTTATCGTTATCTACATTATCGTTAGAAAACGACACGAATATTATGGACACCAGTTCAGTATTTATCAGGGGTTTTTTCATTTGGATAAATAACATTTACACAGTCATCATTAGCCGGTCTATTTACGTGTTTTTGATAAGTTCTAAGCGGTTTACTTGATATTATTAAAATGTGCTAGCCGCTTCATGATAGAGTGCGCATGGAAAAATCTTAACATCTTAATTGTGCCTATCATTGTAATTATTTCATTAGAACGTTTATTTAAAATATATTTATTATTGTCGACAAGTCGCATACGGTATTGTTCGTGTGTATGTTTATATATAAAATCAACAGTATAATAATATTATCATCATCGCTGTACCGTCATTCGGATTGACGTTGTGATTCCGTTGTGTTTAACTTGAAATAAACGCCAGGTAATCTCATTGTTTTCCACGTCAAAATAATAGAATATTTTTGCTTCCCGTAACTATTATCGAACAGTCATATTGACAGTACAAGTATCGTTTTGATGTTTAGATTTAGAAAGATAACGTTGATTATGATACTGTTTTTTAACTATTTCGAATCAATTTGCGCTAATGAACAAACATTTAAATTAGCAATTTTTCTTTTTTTTTAAGACTCAAAATGGCGGAAATCACGAGAACTAAACCGGTGATTTATAATTTTGGAGCAGAAGGCCGAGAAGCCTGTTGGTCCGCTTTGACTAGCTCTATGAACAGATTTCAAAAACCACCGAAAAAAAGTAAGTCTCCACTTTTGTTAATAATGTAATGGTTAATTGATGATTTTTACAACGTTTGGATACCCTATTATTAGAGCGTGTTGGTAACGTTGGTCCGTTAGAAAACAAACGCCAGTGGCTTGTGACGTTTTTGATTAAACGTATTTTTACATTCAAATTTATTTTGTTGGCTTTAAATTACTTTTTTCAAGTGTTTGATTAACTATAAAACCGTCAAATCCGAAAGAAAATAAATTTAAATGTCGAATCACAACGGATACTACACTTCAATTATAATAGGCAAAAATGATCGGAGCTATACTATTATGTACCGATACCAATATTATTATACTTGTATACATGTAGGTACGTTGAAAAATACATCAATAATTTTCAATTACATACATCAATATATTAATAATTTTTAATTAAAAATGATATATCATTAATTATTCTCTAAATGTTTTGTTTAGTATGATGTTAGAACCTAGAAAAATTGTATTGATGTAAATCTTTTTTTCTAAATAAACTGTTAAAACTAAAAACATAAAACATTCAAAATATGCTGTCAAAATTAAATGACATTGACAAGTTTTAAAATAAGACATAAAATGTATTAAACATACTATTTGATATTACAAGTAGTAGATTTTCTCGTTTAAATATATTGAATAAATATTATATTTCTTAATTTTTGATTACACAAATTGCATTCAGTTATTTTTTTATTAATAATAGAAAAATTGAATATATTATTTTATTATATTATTTTTTAAAATTTCAAAATAAAACTAATAATTTTGTTATAAAGACATACATTATTTTACATTTGACATTATTTAATTATAATATCAGAGCTTTGATTGTAAATCTATTGTTTTGTTTTTACTTGAAACTATGCGATTATTATTCAATTTTATTTTTAATTATTCAATTAATAAAAACTTAACTTTTTTATAAGTTATTCCTTTGGTCTATTAGAATATATCATTTTTATTTGATGAATTCTAAATGGTAAACAATTTGTAGTAAAAATACATTTTTAATTAAACTTACAATGCTTTATAATAAATTTTGTTAGAAAATATCATAAAACAATTGTACTGTCACAATGTAACCATGTAAAGAATAATAAACATTTTTAAATACAAATCATATAAAATGACGTCACACATGATTATTTTAAGAAACTTTCTATAAAAATCGAATAAAAAACTGTTAGTTAGACTTAATCAAAATGTGTAGTTTATTCTCTGTACGTCAACAATATATTTTTATTATCACTGTAACAAATAACCTTAACGTATCTACTGGGTGTCATTGAGTTTTGAAGATATACAACCCCACATAAAACATTCCAAACACGTCAGTACATTATTTTTCCATATTTGATACTTTTACAGTTGTCGTTTACTTTCTTGAAAAATAGACAACTATATTTTATGGTTTAATGTATTTAAATTAGTTTCAATCAAAAATAAATAGTACAAATGATTGCATTAAATAAACACCTAACCAGTACGCATCATTTTTGTGAATTTTTTATTCGTTGAATTATATTATTTACTTAGTATGTATATTTAAGTAGCAGCAAAAAATCTAAGCAGTTTTATTTAAAAACATTTACATTATGAGAAAATGCAAAAATCCTGTGATTAAATTAAAAAAGTATTAGAGACCATCTTATAAAATTTATCCTTTCCAGTTAGTTAGTAGTTTAACTACGTTAAAAGCATATTATTTATTAATTATAATGTTAAAAGTGGCTATTTTGAAATTAAAAAAAAAATTTTTGATTTTCTTATTAAAGACAAATAATAAAAAGTATGCTTTTAACGCAGTCCAAAACTGTAAAAATTATTTGAAAAAATATTAACCATAAATATTTACTGGATCAAAAATGATTAAATATGTCTTAACCTGATGAGACATTCTGTATTTTTACCTAAAAAGTTTTAGCAATAATGCTATTTACTCGTACAATTTAATGCCATTCGTTTTTTAGCAACTTCAATCATTATTTTCATGTAAAAAAGATTTATTTTATAGGTATTAGTTTCAATAAGATATTTCAAAGTGTATCCAATTATATTTTTAAGGTGGATGTTTCAAAATAATTCATTCTTAATTTTTATAGTTAAAATTTAGTATTTATGTTATCAATTTTGATATCTTTCAGCATAGACGAACTTTGAAATAATAATTGGTGGCTGCTAAATTTAGTTTTTATTCTTTTTTAAAGTATTTATATAGCGTAGTTCATAATGTTTTTTTCAAATCTCATAATTTTTGATATACTTAATATTTGAGTAAATTTTTTTTTAATAATTTATACATTTTTTAAAAATTTTACTGGGTAATAACAATTTTAGGACAAATACTTATAGATTTACAAGTATTTTAATACATTAAATGGGTATACTCAATGTATTAAAATCGACCCAAAATATAATAAAACCTTATAAAATCAAAAACTCTTCCTAAATTGTATATGTCAATTGACGAAATTATCTTTATTAAATTTGACTCAAATCGCTGTCTGATAAAGGATTGTGTCCACTTCCTTATAATAACTACCAAAATGCATAATTATAAACACATTAGAAACGTTTTATTTTTATTTTATTAATTTTTTTCGTAATTAAGTTGTCTCCATCAAATCTTATCATATTTCTGTATAATTATGTAAAGTTAAAAAATTGATGGCCGCTTAGTACCATTAAAGGCTTTCAAGATTAAAAGACGCAGGCTTATAGTATAATAACGTTTGTAACAACAAACGGATATTATAATGATTATAATATCTGTTGTTTATTACGACGAATATATTTATATTTAGTAAATATCAATATAATTATTTAAATTTTTTTAGTTATTCCTCCATTAAACTTAATGAGTGACAATTCACATGACTCTTCAAGTAGTGAAATTGAAGAAGAATGCCAAGATGACACAACAAGTAAAAAAAGTTCATTGATTTTACCAAAAATTGTTCATTTTTAAGAACATACTTTATAATAACATTGAATTATATAATTTTTGAAGGGTTTTTGCATCCTAACAGAAATATTGTTAATATGCTGATTATGACAAAATACAGGCCCTACATTACAGAACCTAAAATATTATACTTTAGAAAACTAAGCTTATAGTAAAAAATATCTAATATACAGATAGAATTTTTACAAAAAGCCATACATTTTTATAAATTTCGGTTTTATCTTCTTAAAGGAATGATTTTTTTTCTTAGTATCAATATAATATCAAGCAAAAAATATGTTCATTATATATTGTAATATATTTCATATTTAAATGTTTATTAAATGAACAATGAGTAATCCCATTGAATTCGTAAATATTTTATTTAAACTTACATTTTGCTCATGTTTAGCATCATCCAATTCTGACGTGGCGAGAAAGCTTGGAAAGTCTGGTAGAGATAACAATGATCATCTTGTTTCACAGAAACGACACAGGTTTACCAAACATTCAAGTTGGTCGATTAAAAGCAGACAGTCCTTCCGACAGCACTACAAACAATTGCAGCAGCAGACGCCGGTTCCTATGTCTGAATCACAACGGCCTCCAACTCCAGCAACGCCCTTAGCGTCAATTAATGACCACGTAATTCCCAAGTGTGATCAAATCGACTGCTGGCCCAAAGACACGCCATTTGATACCGAGCACATCAACATAAACAACAACACGATAAATAACAATAACAGCTACTACAACGACGATGTTAAATTGAAGAAATCATTTATACACCCCGTTGAAACCAGCCAAGATGTTATACCTGTGGTTGAGCACATAATCATTGAAAAACAGTTGCTCAGTATGGCCGACGCTAACCCTGAAGACCCGTCATCGCCATTATCAGTAGCCACCATAGTCAATGGTGACAACGATAATGACGATAACGAGTCATCGACTGTCTTTACTGACGCTCCACAGCCAACTGATAGCAACAAAAATTACTGTAAGTATATTTACTTAAAATTATTGTTAACTAACAGTTTAACATTATATAAAATTTTCTGACCTAATTATTTCTTCATATATTATAATAAATAAGAATTAATTTTTATTGATTATTCTCTAAACCCTTTTTATTATTTTATTATTGCACTCTACTATGAAATGAGTACAAGAAATATGTAATTAAATTTAAGTCCTAATATGTTATGAAAAAACTTGCATTATTTTTTATCTATTATTACTTTTATTTTATTTAACGATTTCCTTCGTCTGTTACTCATTTTCTTAAAAATACCCCAGGTCATTTGAATCACTTTCTACAAATTTCATTTAACTATATATCTGTTTTTTTTTTATCCACACTTATAAGTAAAATTATTCATTACGGATACTAGTTTCGATTTCATTAAATTTCTACCATTTTTTTAATTTAAATTAAACACTCAATTGAATTAAATGATGTTTTTTAACAGTAGTTTGAAATTAGCACCAAAATAAACATATGTAACTTGCACTACCATTAATAGTAAAATATATGAAATGTAATTTATACTAAATTTAAGTTTGTAATTTGGTCCAAAATTTAAATTGATTATTCATTTGATAGTTTAATAATTCAATTATTTCTTTTAATACTTGGACTCTTCATTTAGTTGAATACTTACTATGATCACGATCACAAACAAGTTATATTCGCATTTTTTGTTTTGTATGCAAAATAAAATATAATATAATATAATTAACATGATGGATATTTTATTATAAAATAAAATATCTTCACCATGATTACTCTTTATAATTTTAACATCCATGTTGTAAAAAACAGTAGCGCAGTGTGGTCGCTGCACAGTATAAACCTGACATAGTTGAAACTAGTTTAAATAATATCTGACTATGATTAAAATCACTATCATAAGAAACGCCTTGATTCAAATCTGTAGATTATGTTAAATTTTAAGAAATTGGTGGAATATTCCAAAGGCTAAATTAACTCCTGTTTCATTATTTATATCCTGTTTATAATTTTTATTAAAAATGTAAAAAAAAATGATATTTATATAAAATAAATCATATTGATTTGTGTCATTTTTTAAAAAATTATGACTGTTTAAAAAAAAAATTTCAAAAGTTGAAACTTCCTGATTTTTAAAATTGTATTTTTTGGAGGATTTCCCCTCTTAAGGGAAACGAGGGTAGTTTTTTCAATTTTTTTAGTGTAATGTCTTCGACTACACATGCGATTTGTGATCTTTTGATGTATTATTCATTAAAATCGGTCCAGTACCTACTGAGAATAGTAACAGATAAAAAAAAACAAATTTTAGTAAAATTAATACATTCTCAGGTTCTGAGAATTGAACTTCAAATTCAATTTTTATAGATTTTAAAATGTTTCAGTAATATAAGAACAATGTATATTATAATAACATAGTATATAAAAATCAGTGTGTACATTGAATACATACTTCTCCCGTAAATCCTGTCTTAATATATTAGTCTCTTCTATCGAATCGTGAACTTACTAACAAATGAATAACCGATTTTAATTGTGGTTTAAATTACATATGTTTTGAATATTTTATAATCAATTTTTTATTTTATAATATTCCCCCAAAATTTTTTTCCATTTTTCACTTATTCTTAAAATCTTTGTTAATGAAAATTAGCTCAGTAGTCTTGCATTATATTTGAGTAAAATTAGAAAAAATATACGTCTATATTAAAAAATAAATTGATCAACAGGCATGGGATCAACAACACCACTTAGTAGTATCAGCAGTGTAAGCAAACGGCATACAATGGAGTTATTGGAAAAACAGTCTTTTAAGTATGATAGAAAAATTAAAGAAATAGACAACAACATAGTAACTTTTTCCAAGTCATTCTTGGGTACAGTACTGTTTGTTGTGCTCTTTCGTCTATTGTTCTAAAAATTATGATTGTCGTCAAACAGCATTATCCTCAAATATCGTTTGGGTAAAATTTTCTTACGGCATTCAATGGATTTTTCAAGCGCATCATTTTGCGTTTCCAAAATATCCAATTATTATTCAGCCTAGGAAAAATTTACACATTCGACACGAAACAGAAAAAAACTCACATGGCTATAATCAAAATCATTTTATGTTTACCTCTGTGATTTTTTTACTTTCCGTGGACCTTTTAAAATCTTGCATGTACATTTATTTGAATATTATATATACAAATCTTATTAAAAATATTTTATTCTTATTATATCTTATCTATTATATAATTTTGCTTAACCAATATAAATATCCTGAACTATATTATTATACTACTCTATTTACCTTAATTATTTACTTTTGATCATATCATTTATTATATATATATATATTTGTTTATACTCATCGCTAAAACCATGTAAAATATTGATTTATAGTGCGTATTATTGCAATAATTATTATTAGTTATCATTTTATTTGTTTGAATTATATATATTGTACATTAGATAGTAATAGGTTTTATCGTTTCATTTAAAAATGTTATAAATACAGGATAATAATTTTAATAACAAAAAATGTTTACTGTATATTATTGTGTTTATATGATAAGACGCCCTTCTCAATGAGATAATATAGTAATTTTTTTGTGATTAACAACTTATTTTCTGTATGTATAACACTAGCAACTAATTTAAGCTGCTAATAAAGTGCCTGTTACATTCATAATGTTTTTGAATATTATTATCATTAATACTTTGTTAATATTCTTTAAATAAAAAAATTTTTATGTACAATAGCTTAAAGTAGTCTGCCTTAGTTGTAAAAAAAACCGTTATATACAATATAGCTTATTATATTAAGTAAATATTCACGCATTAATTTTTTTCTAGTTCAAAACTAACAACTATTTTATTTGTAATATTTGGATATTAATGTTGATTTATTTATTCATTTCTTCTCTTTCTTTCTAACACCAGAATGATTCAAGAGTTTTAGCCACTACCGACACTCAAAGGCATAAAGCATTTGAGTAAATGTATTTGAATAAAAGTATTCAAATACTTTCATTGGTATTGAATAGTATTTTTAAATACATTTAATAAAAAGTATCTGAGTAGTATTTTAAATACAATTATTTAGTATTTAATACTGTTTAATATTCAGTACTATTAATATACTTTTTTTTTTTTAATTTGCTAACCGTAACACAGCAAGCAAATTAAACTCAGTCAAAATGAAAATTGAGAATAATTCTCTGTTATTTTATATGTTACATTATAGTATAACATAATTATTGTGCTTATCTAAATGCTATTATGTATACATCTATTTTTAATACATCAGTTGAACCTACAATAGCCTATTGCAGGTTCAAATGATTTACTCTATTGTCAATAAGACATACTTTACAGGTTTTTACACGTGTACTAATATTTATTTTTTTCACTGATTAGTCTCCAATAATTAATTTTATTTACCTCCAACAAAAAATATCGAAAATAATAAATGAATTCTCTTAATTTAAGAGTACTCAATATTTGACTCAAATTACCCTCTTGGTAATTATTTAGGTGGAACCTTTTGCTCTTAGTTAAAATAAAAACATTATTATTATTTTTTAATTGTATTCTTAGTATTTGAAATACTTTTGTAAAGTAATTTAGTATTACTCAAATACTTTTGTATGAAAAGTATTTTAAATACATTTTTTTTAAAATATTTGAATATTATTTAAATTACTTTTTAAAAGTATTTTTTACAACTATGCCGACACCTCCTTTTTACTAATGTATATATTCTATAAAATAAACAGAGAGTTCAATAAATTTGAAAATAAGATAATTAAATCTTTTTCTTATGATAAAAATAAAATGAATTCAACTTGAACATTTTCTATAGCTTAGTGTTAAAATAAACAATTCTAATGTTTATTAGAAAAAAAAAATTAACTATAACTCATTTTTATTTTTGCGAAAAAATTTAACATTTACAATTTTATTATTAAAAACTTTATTTCAATAATTGAATCATAATCTTAGTGTACCACAGCTTCCTATTTAATACTAGAGTAACTTCACTAAAACATGATTAATTTTTCATCTTTTAAAGTTATTTATTAATTTTATATTGGTGTCGCTTTCATTTTGTTCTCTGAAAAATTCTCTATACTAATAATGTAAAAATATTTATTATTAACTATTCAAAATTTCAATTTGTTATTAAACGTTGAAAACTTGAATTTCCCAGCGAATATGAATAAAATGGGTATTGTATCAAAAATTATGATATTACAGTAGTACTAAATTTACATACTTTCTTTGTAATAAAAACTACTAGCAACAACTTGTAACAATAAGATTAGACAATTTTTTACTTGTAACTCAGTGGTGTTAGTGCACTGGTTGTGTTAATGCATTTATGATGTTACCTTAGCTACACTTAGATCAAATCTTTCTGGTATCATAAAACTGTCATGACTACACTATTGTTCTGTTCAAATATAAACAAAGGAAAATAACTTTTGCTTTTACGTTTTATACTCAATATGCCTACACAGGATAGTGTCATGTGTTGTCTGTTAAGATGCAAGTGTGACAATCATTTCTACGAAATAGAAAAATGTCTTAGTATCGCATTTTATTTGTTTAATTGGATATTTGCAATATGGACACTATTTCAAACAACTCGATTATTTTCAAATTCTCTGTTGGATTTATTTATAAGTAAGGTAATCGAAAAACAAAAATAGGGTTAAAATATAATTTGACATCAATAAAAAATGAGATGATTGATAGCATTTAACCAGTAACCGCAAAATACTAAATGATGAATACTAATAGGTTAAGTAGTTACAAGTTATATAAAAGTTAAACTCCAAAAATAATTCGATATGATATTTCCAAACGATTGTAAAATAAATTTACGTTAATATATCAAAAAATAGTGATTTTTTATGATTGATAAAACAAATGATTTTCGTTCCAAAATGATGTAATAAATTTTAAACATTCTTGATTAAATCGTTAAATTAAAATAAATAAACCTCGAAAGTTGGATGATTTTTTTAAAAATATATATACTAGAAAGGAATTTGATGATTACAAATTGATTTTGTTCACTTAAATAACAATTTAAGTAAAGCAACTTAAAAATATTTTATCATTTTATATATTATTTAACGTATGTTTAACAATATTCTAGATATAATATTGCTAAATTTTATAAAGTTACTTATACAATTAACTTTTTATTTGATTAACTTTTATCTTTTATGTAAGTGAACCTGTTATTTTATATACTGTGATGAGTCCATGTACGAGTTATTTCAGTGAAGTTATTCACAATTTAGTGGATATGAATAGAATAACGTGACTTAATTTTTTATTGAGAAGTAGTTAAAACGTTTAAGAGAAGGATATCCTTTAATACTTCATTAAAAAACAAATATTTTATTGTAAAGTGAGCAATTAACAAATTTTCTATAATTATAATTTCTTTAATGCAATGCGTGTTTAGGAGAAACTATTAAGATCTTAAACAAATAAAAACAGACATCGTAATTTTCTCCTTTGACAAGTTATTTGCTCATCATAATTCCAAATTTTGATATTATACGCAAAAAAAAAACGCAAATTTTAAATAGTATACTATTCTTAGTTAGCTGGGTTTATTTAATTATTACTTATTTATTTTCAGTGTAAGTTGGACGTTTGTGAAATTCGACATATTGTAGAACACACCGTAAGAGAAGTTATTTCAAAAAACTATAAATCAAAAGATAAATCATCAAAGCATTCAAAAGACAATAATTACCATAAACCGATTAAAAAATCTGATGTTGGTTGTACACGTTCATTACCGGCTAAAACAAAAAGTGGACACAAAAAAGAGCTATTGTGGTCTACAGATAGCAACTCAAAATCCAAAACTATTCCAAGTGATGATTCCTTCATTGGAACGACTGATTTAGACGTTATACGCCAAAATAAAGATAGTAAGCCAATTAACCGGTGCCATGAAAAAAACAAATCATCGTTGAAAAAACACGAAAAGCCATTAAATCGCTGTCGTAAAAAAAGTAAATCACCTATAACAAAAAAAAATAAAAAACAAAGCCTATGCCGTGCAAAATATAGTGAAATGGTTGAAATGGATAACGATAAACACCATAAGACAAATTTCGATGGCGAGCAAGCTATTATTTCCAAAGTAATTAAAAAACAAAAACATAACATAGTCAAACAATTTATATAATTCAGTCCCTGACTTATTTACGTACATATTACAGCGCCTAAAAAATAAGTAATTACAATAGTTTTTAGAATTTATTACGTCAGGAAAAAATCAACACCTCATATCTCAATTTTTCGTCAAATTGAGTTGGCACTATCTTGTTTTAAATTTTGTAAAAATCGATTGGTCGTTTGATAAAAACAATTAATTTTCAAAAACGTGAAATGATAGCAGCTGCAAACTAAAATACATTATTAATAAATCAGTTTATTTACTCTTCTGAAAAAGTTTGCAAAAAGTGAGATATTAGGTGTTGCTACATTATATTAAATAATAATAATACTTCGAATAGATTTGACTAACGGATATATTCGATAATATTAAAAAAAAACTATCGATTAAGTTGAATGTTATTATCGACTTCTGAATAGTTTTATACTGTCAAATAAATGGATAAAATATTTAATAGTTTGACTTTGAATAAAAACTACCGGTAGAAATATTCAGTAGTTATTATATGAACAGCAATTACCGTATATTTTGTTTAATAATTCGATAGTCAAAAGTATTCAATCATGTAAATTTCTATTAAAATAAAATATGTATTGTTTTATTTAGTTGTTTTAACAGCATAATATCCCGAATAGTTAGTAATCATAATATGATTGAATTATATTGTGAATTATTATGAAGATAGTTGAACGGCAGTTTCACAGTCGGTAGTTCGGTATCGATTGTTCGAAAACACTATTCTATAATATTTATTTCTGTGGATAATTTTTGAAAACAAATGAATGAATCGATAATTTTAGTTTATCAAATAGTTTGGCAGTTTTAGTATTAGGCATATTTGAATATTTAAAATATTTAAAGTTGGGCAAATTAATGATTTTTGTTAACCCGTTAAAATCAAGTTAAATTAAAAAATATTAACGAGTTCATAGTTAAAGTTAATCCGTTATTTTTTTTAAATATTATAAGTTAAAAGTTATGTTGACGACATTCACTAAAATCTAATCAAAAAGACTTGAATATTTATCATTTACGATGCTCATTTATATTTCAGAGACTCTCGAAACCTATTCCTATTTGCCATGAAAGTTATTCTAGGCCACAGAATAATTTAATAAAGACATCCACTCAGATTGATACTGAAGTAAATGAGCGAGAAAGACAATGCTGTGTCTTATCACTGGACCCTGATCAAGATGAAAGAGAAACTAAAATTTGTGCAATGTATCAGCAAAATATGAATACTATTGAAAATAATCGGAATATGTCCTACACAGATTCGGTGGCGAGTTGTTTGCCTCTACTCAAAAGAGTGCATAGTAAAAAAGACAAGCCAAAAGAATCACTCCATGAAATGGTACCAATTTGGATTAAAACGCGAAAAATAGGATATGCCATAGTTCGGCCTAAAAACAGAATTTTATTGTAAAGTTTTTTTTTTTATTACAATCAAATGAGCATTTGACAAATTAAAAAAGAATTCGATAGAATATACAAATAAAACCAGATATTTGCTATACCAATGAAGTTTTTTAGTTTATATTAAAATTATGTTATGAATTATTATTATTATCATATTATTTTATTTTTTGAAATCTTCAGTACTTGCGATTTTAATTGATACACAAATGTATAATGTGAGTAATTTTAAAACTGCTCTGTATGTTTGAAAAATTGTGATTGTTATAACGTTGAATAAAATATTGCATGTATGTAAAACGATTTTTCACATTTTAAGTACACATATTATATTATCATCATAGTAAGAAATGCATGATTGATACATAAAAACAATAACAATTAATACATAAAAAAAGGTTGTACACTATAAAATATTTTCATTATTTTATTTAATTTGGCTAAATTTACGCCAACATCCAAGGATGTAAAAGGCATTGTGTCGCTGAAGCTCGATTGTCTTGATCCAAGTCTAACATTGGAACTAAAAATGATGCAAATGCTTTGGCATCTTTTGGGTCCCAATCGTACTTTTCAATAAGCACATCATAAAGAATCCATGGTTTCAAATTGCTTATGTGTTTCAAACTACCTAAAAACAAAAAAAATATTCTTAGACTATATTCACTATGACTAAAATTAAAAATTTATTAGTAATAATATTTTATTGAAAAACGCACTGTGAATTAAATTTCCAACACTAATTATTTTTTGATAAAAAATAAATTAATGGTAATATTAAAGTTTTAAACTAAATTAGGCTATTTAGCCACTTATTTAATTTAGCATACATTTTCTAATAAAAAGTATTAAGTATTTCAAATTTATACCATAAACATTATATTTCACAAAAGTCTAAATTGTATAACAAATAGTTTTGTTTTAGTGTAAATTTTTATAGGATAAAAAAAACATGGCCTTTTTACCGTTACTTTTGAAAAAATGTCCCGAATTTTTTCCACTTTGAATAACATACATGGGTATACATCCCAACAATTCAATTATATGAGCTAAGTGATCTTCATCCTTGTTGTAAGTTGTACCAGAATGTGGATCGAATAGAAAATCTCCTGTAGCCAACTCGAAAGCCTGTACAAAGAATTTATTTATTTTATAAAACTTTTTACTTAAAATAAATCCAAAAAATACATTGAGTACTTTGATAATTTTTTTTTAACAATATGATTAAACTTAATGCATTGAATACGTTTTATCAGAATATTATAATAATAATTATTTTTTGGAGTGAGAAATAATATTTTAAAAATTACTTAAATATTAATTCAAATCATTTTAAATTAGATTATAATATGGTCTAACATATAAAATTGTTGTCTAATCAATACACTTTCAATAACGTATCTAAATTTTTATTAGAATTTTTGTAATAGTGATTATATAATTGATATAAATCTGTATATATTAAAATAAACTTCTATCTTAATTTCGAATGACATTTTTTTTTATGTTCGATGTATTTCATTTAACGAAAAAATAATTTAGCTATCGATAAAAGAATATTTTATAAAACTTAAAACAAACCAGACATGCAGTACTCCAGATATCTGCCGGTGTACCATAGCCAGCACCCAACAAAACTTCTAAGCTACGATACTGTCGAGTTTGAATGTTTTCCGTATAATGATTATTCTAAAAATTAATCATTTATTAGAAATATTAATAATATACATTTTTCTCTATCCATAAAATATAATTAAAAAAATATCCTCTCTAAATCTCCGGAGCTAAATTCTTTGTATGGAGAAAGCGGGTTAAGCTACTTTTTATTTGAATAATGGATTTTTTTCAGTTTTTGAAGGTAATATCTTCAACTAAATAATAATTGTAATCATTTGACGTATTGATGAAAAAAGTAGGTCAAGTAAGGGTTGAGAAAATAAATTGCAGCCACAAAAAAAAAAAACCTCATAGTAAAATAATATTAACATGAATAAGACATTTCTTCTCACAAGAGAACACATTTTCAAAAGTTAAGTTGAAAAAGTTCTACTTTTTATACGTATGTTTCAAATTTTAATCCCCCCCTTGTATAAAGGAATATGGTCCAATTAAAAAAAAATTTATATCAAATGAAAGAAATTAACATAGTGTTTATAAAAAAAAATTATATTGATCCATACATTTTTCAAAAAGTCATAGTAATTTAAAGTTGAAAATATAAAATCGAAAATGGAAAATTTTAACACAAAAATAGCAGGTTTTTAATTACGGTAGCTATTTGCGCGTAGAATATAAGTCATCGGAGCAAATTATATTTTTAATTTATAGTACATGATATAAGCTTTAATTTGTTATATGTTTAAAGGACGCAGTATTTCCAGAATATTTTCATAAGTTGAAAAAATTACTTTATGTAAAAAAGTTTACATATTTTATTTTAAATCCCTCCCTGTGAGCAGGTAAAGTATTAAATTTTCAAAAAAATGATATCAAATTAATGAAAAACATTTAAGGTTTCAATAAAAAAAAAAATTATGTTAATTTGTTAATTTTTGAAAAAGTTATGGAAATTTTTTTAAAAATAAGTAAAAAAATGACGACATTTACCGATTTTAAAAATTGTAATTTTTTTGGAGATTTCCCTCATTTGCGTGGAACGAGAGAAATATTTTCAATTTTTAAGGGTAATTTCTTCAACTAGATTCTTAACTTAGCATCAAAGCTAAAAACAACTTACTATTTTACATTGTTTTAAATTATCAAAGATATAATTTTATCTAAATATCTTTAGCTAACAAAAAGCGCATTAACAGTTTCCATTAATTTATTAATTTAATAAATTAATTTAAAATATTTTTAATTTAAGTAATACGCATGTTATTATTCTTATCATTATAATCATAATAAAACATTTTATGTCGTATAATTTTTATACTCATAATATTTTTTTTATTTAATCAATGAAATTAAATATTATTTGTAATACTTATAAAACATTTTCCCGAAGAATCTTACTTTTTGCCATTTTCCTTAATTTTAATAGAAAAGGTTATCGGTTATATTTATACATTTTTTAGAAAAAATAAATTAAAATTTTAATTATTCATACATTTTTTTAATGTTTAATATTTAAAGAGAATTGTCATAGACATAGAAACCAGTAAAATGTAACTATTATTTGGTTTGTTTAGTTTATACAAATAACATTCGACCGTAAAAAAAAATTTTCTGGAGCATCTCTTGGGTATTTCTAATTCAATAATTTTTCAAAAACTTTTCCACTTATTTTCATATCATCATCAATCATTAACACCCTCTTATAATGACATGACATACAAAATGACATACACATATTTTAACCTGCGTTTTATTTTAATAGTCAAGTCATTAATTGTCAGCGTCGACAGTGCTGTCTTAATTTATTGTAAAATTAAATTATAATAAAAATAATCTTGATGACGTGACATTAGGCTATGCCTTCATAAAGTGTCATATGCTGTAGAAAGGTCAATAAATACAGAGCTAGTTATTAAGCTATTTCGAAAAGCACGCTTCGATTAGGAATGTTAACGTAAGTAAACGGTACTTTACACCCCTATTTTCTCAAAATCTTACTTGCCCAATTAGAACTTGCTTGTCAATTTGTACTGTATACGTTATAAGATAATTTTTTCAAGTACTTTGAATTAAACATTCAAAAGTGACATTGAAATCAAAGGGAAAATTTCAGCATCGAATTAATCATTCTTGGGTTTAAACAAAGCAATAAATTTCGCTCTCTTAAAACTTTTGGTAATTATACATTTTTAAGTATTTCATTATTAACAAGAGAATTTTTTTAGGATACAGTTTTAAATAGTATTGAATTAATAAATCAGGATATTTTTAAGAAAATGATTGGTCAATAACAATTTTTGGGACAATACTCAAAATGTTATAACGATTTTAAAATATGTACTTATTAATATGTATAATATGTATGCCTTGTAGAGTCATGGGTATGACTATTTATATACATTTTTTTTTTTTATTAATTATATCATTAGACATTTCTTGGTCTAACTCTTCCTGCCACCCAAGTATAAAAATATTTCAATGGTTTCTTTAAATTTGTGCAATTCTATAGTTTCTTATATTTTTTTAGCTTCTTAAGTTTCCAAATAAAAATCAAATCATTTTTTCATTTTTTTTTTTCTTAAAAATACCATAACTTTTTTAAAAATGAACGGAACAAAATAATTTTTTATAAAGAAACTTTAGGTATTTCCCTTTCATTTGACATAAAGTTTTTGAAAACCAGATTATTAACCTGCCCACTGGGGCGGATTCAAAATAGACACATTTTTACAAAAAATCACTTTTTTCAACTTAACTTTTGAAAATGTTCCTACAATACTAAGTCCTTTAATAATATGTTAAGTTAAAGCTTATATTTCGTACTATAAATTAAAAATATAATTTGTCCCGACAACTTATCTTCTGCGTACAGATAGATGCGGCAATTAAAAACATGTTATTTTTGTGTTACAATTTTCGATTTTATATTTTAAACTTTAAATTGTTATCATAATTAATACTTTTTTTTTTTAATGGTTTCTGTAAAAATGTTGTATTTTTTCAGAACCATTCATTTTTTTATTCAAACCTATGCTCGCCATTTTTGTAATATTTTCCACAAGTTAGTTGTTCCAAATAGTTTCCCAATGAACTAATACTCAACCAAACCCACCTGTCGAAATATCGGCAGACCATTTAATATTGTATCTATTATCTCTTTTTCTGTCATATTCCATTTGCTCTCCTACATTCAGCCTTAACATTGGTAATTTCATCTAAAATACTCTCATGATCTTCATTTTTCGTTTTTATGAAAAAGATTTTAATCACTGTCAGATATCATCTATACTTGACCCAACTATGCTACATCCATACTATGCTTAGACTCCACTATGATTCCGTTTTTTTTGTTAACTGTAAATAATTGTAATATATTTGAAAAAATAACATAAAAAATTATGCGTTTTGAACTTCCTTGTATTTTTCTTTACAACGCCACTAAAATTACACTAAATCACGAAATAAGCAAAATAGCACTTGAAATTTAATATATACAACATGAAATTTTGAAATTAGCTTATTAGTTTTCTGAAACAAAATTATAACTTAAGAAGGTGGTAACCGTTAATTCTTTTAACAATAATATGAAAATTTAAATGTTATGACCCTTGTTTATAACCATCATGAATTTCTTGAATTAATGTATACTCCCAAGAACTTAAAATAAAAATTAATATGCATTATCTAGGTTAAACTCATTTCAAATAATATGTTACATTACAAACGTGATTTCAAGATTGCCACTAAATAGATGGATTTTACGTATTATGTAAATCGATAAACGCATAACTTAGAACCGAGGTCGTGGTTAGTATATTTAATTGAAATAACAAAAGCAAGTACACTAGAGAACTAGCCTTTTTATACTTTTTCTTTTTTTTAAAAAAACTAAATATGCATTACTTATGCACAAAAATTATTCAATAAATGTCATAATAAAATGTTATTGAAAAAAAAAACCAGCACAGTGAGGACGTGGCATAATTGAGTACATTAAAATGATATCTGACAGTGATTAAAAATACTATCATAAGAAACGCTTCGATACAATTCTGTAGATAGTGTTTAATTTAAAAAAATTGGTGGATTATTCCAAAAGCAACATGATCTCCTATTTTCTTATTTATACTCTGATTACAAATTTTATGATGTATAAGTGTAAAAAAATGGCATTTATTATTTAAATAAATTTAAATCATATTGATTATTCAAACTTTCATATATTTAGTTGAAAAAGTTGTCATTTTGAAATCCCTCTGTGAGCATGTAAAGGGTCAAATTTATAAAAAAAAATATACAAAATGATAGGTACATACCTCATGTATCTATAAAAAAAAATTATATCGATTTTGTCATTTTTGAAAAAATTATGGCAATTTTAAGTAAAAAAAATTGAAAAAGTATCGAAATTTAATATATATATGTATATAATAATATATTATATTAAATGAGTCAATTATGCCTTGAAATATAAAAAGAACTTAAATGCGCACAAATATTTCATACAAAACTAGTATCGATGTGGCCTACTTTTTAAAATTCAAATTCTTGAAATTCTCTGCTCTACTAATAAATGCCGGTTGCAAAAAAACAAACAATATAAATTTTTCTTCATCATTACATATCTAGGAATTTGTGCAAAATATATCTCAAAAAATGGTGGAATTTCAGCCACCGTAGAATCTAATTTCTATTTATACCTGTAATGTTAACTTAAAATAAATGCAATTCGATAAACCAATTATTCAATCATATTTTCATGCAATTAATTATATAGAAAATGAAAAAAACTATTGTTATTTAAAAAAAATAATATTTTATAAATTACATTCGTTATCATAAATACTTATTTTTCATTTAAAAATAAATAATTGTTCATTACCTCCCAACAGGAATTTCCGAGATCAGCAATTTTTATATTAAGACTTCCTAAGTCATCTAATAATTCATATAAACGTTTAAATTTACTAATTTTTCTGTAATAACAACTCGATTCTATATAACTTTCTGTAAAAACATTAATTTATTTATTAAAATATGTTTGTAAATAAAAAATTGTATGTTATATTGTTCTTAAATACTTACCTGTTTCTAAATCATTATAGTTCATGTGCTCTGAATGTTGGTCATCTTCAATACCCTGTAATCTTTCAGCTGTATCATTAGCAAATCCAATCTTTTTGTTGTCTAATTATTAAAATTCAAAATAGTTGTAAATACAATTAATTAAACAAAGAATGAACGAAGTGAGTAAGAAATTATTATAAATTTCTTATCCAAAAATGATAATAGTCAAAAATTTTCAAAATAAAATATTTTCTCTTTTAAAAAATTAATAATGGTCCTAAATATTCTATACTTACGTAAACTTAAAATGGGCATTTGTTTATAGCTATTGTCAGCCATAGTTTTGATATAACTATAATCCGCACATATTAGAATGTTTTCCGGTTTGATATCAGTGTGAATGATATGACATGTTTCGTGAAGATATTTGAGACCTTGTAAGACCTGAAATAAACCATTATTTTTATGACAAGTACTGTTGAGTCAAATAAATTCTATAATATGAATGAAATATTGATAAACGTTTTTAAAATAACTAGAAGCATTAAAAATATATAATAATTCCGTCAAATATATCACGTAAATTAATAAAGCCCAACGTATACCCTCATTAATTCAAGCTTTTATCATTTCCCATTCAAATTAATGGAAATATTGTGAAAATTCTAACATCTACAACATTAATTTCTATAAAATTATGTGGGAAGTTTGCCAAGTAGAAACCTACGCGTTTAACTATGTCTATCATACAAAAACAATAATAGAGCTAAAATTGTTCAAAAATATGTTTTCTTTGGATAATAAAAATAAAATTATGAAAGGGTAAATATTTATATTGTTTAAAAACAATTTTCATAATACTTCCGTTAACACGTACAAAAAATTGATACTATTGTTTATATTATAATTGTTTTTACTTAAAAACATTATTTACGTATTTATTTACTCTTTTATTATTACTTATCAGTTATTTATTAAAAATATCTAAAATATATTATTATAACTTTAGATTGTTGGAATAAATTATGTTAACTTTACTTACTTGTCTTATGATATGTTTAACCAGGTACAATGGAATACCTTGGTAATTGGTCTTTTTTATAAGCTTTAACAAATTTGGTCCTAAGGCTTCAAACACCATAACTACGTGTGGACCTCTTAAACCATCTAGCCGAAAATTATCGAATAATTCAACTAGTCTCATTCTGTTAATGTCTTTATCTCCGAGTCGATGAATCTGTAAAATAATAAAAAATATTATGAAAACATGTCAACTCAAAATGTCATTAAGAATTTATTTTTAATTAAATAGTCAATTTTGAAATGTTGTCCATCGCTTTTAAATTAATTCAATAGAAGATAAAAGCCATTTTTCATTATAATAAATTAAAACACTTTTTTTTTAAAATTATTTTAACAATAATTTTATATTAAAAAAATATAAAGCGATATTTTATTACAAATTTTTATCAACCTTTGAATATTATTCTAAAATACTGATCATTTGAACATCAATATTTTTCAAAAATCATAATCCAAACATAAATAATTTAAATTTGGATTATAATCGTATTTTATATATTTAAATTTTACTCAGTTTATAAGAGTAATATTATATTTTGTACTCACGCATTTAAGCATTCGAATTTCGTCTAAAGCACTTTCTGTGTAGTCTACAGCAGATTTAACGACCTTAAGTGCCAAAAAACTATGTGATCTAAAAAAAACACTTTATTTACATATACGTATAATTAATATAACACTACTATGCTTATTTATAAATGTAATTTGTAAGATATATCATTTATTTCGACCCTTTGAAGAGATAGTTATTATGAAAATACTTTAGTAAGTGTAATTTTAATACACATACACTTTTTTTTTCACATTCGACATTTTTTGTAGAGAAATAAACTTTGCCTAAATATTTCTTCACGAAGTCATTGGAGTGCGTTTTAACCAAAATCAATGAACGTCAACGTAACTGTTATTTATTAGAAAACAAATATCAAGTTAACACTAATTTATGTGATGTGATGGATTTTTTTCAATAATAAATTATTATCAGTAGGGTGTTTTCTTTTGATATATTAATTTATCCACAAAATATTTATCAATTTAACTCGGTTTAAAATCACTTTTACCATTTAATATATATGAAATGTATCATTAACAATACACTTCAGTTATTAAAATAATGGCAGACTTTAATCATACAATTTTAAATGTTAAATAATAATCAAAATTGATTTATTTTTATAAACCGTAGTAATTATTAAGTTTATTGCAAGAATAAATGATCTATAACGTTAGATTTTAGGAATAACTTTCAAAAGTTAAATAGGAATCTATAATTATTTTTTATGAATTATAGTTAAAATAGAACGTAGCTTAACACTACTCCACTTCTCACCTTTCTAAATCATTAAATGTTAATATCTCAAAAATTAATGTCGAAAAACTAGTATTGACCAGTGGACATTTTATTTAGACCATTATTTTCTATTAAACATTAAAAGAAAAAAAAAGACTATTTTATTTTTAAAAGGTACCCCTAATATTTACTCTAAAAAGTTTCCTCGCATTCAAGGACTAGCCTTGAAGTCATTTGGTTATTACTAAGTACCCACAGAGAGATTTGACTATCACTTAACATAGTTATCTTCCTTTTCTTGAATACTAGCAGGTTCTGGGTCCCTACAAGTATTGCCATTACCTCTGCTTGGAACATAGAGAGTTTAAAACATATTATATTAGAAATTTAATCATACATAATCGGTAATAATGGCTTATTTTAAATTATTTTGCATAGTACCGGAACATCTACATCATTTAAAATTAAATCAAATTTAAGGTTTTTTTGTACTGTAAGATAGAAAAAATGATGTTCCGATGACTTGTTCTCTATTAGTAAACGGTTTCAATTAAAAATCATGCAATTTATTCAGTGTTTTCTTAAAATTACACCACTTTATAAAGACTTCAAAACAGGTCGATAAAATAAAAAAATGTAAAATGATAATCATTTATAAAGTCATGTATCTAAATAAAAGTTAATATTATTTTTATCTAAATTTTACCAATACTGTAATTATAGTTGATTTAATATTATAAAAAAAGATCCAAAATTTTTCTTGAAATTTATATATTTACAACTTCCAACATGTGCATGAAAACTCGAACAGTTTTCTTAATAGTGAACTCATACGACGCACAGTGCTAAGATGTGTAATAATTTGTTTAGAAACTGTTAACTAAATTAGATGTCACACCGCTACGTTTTATAATAAGCTTTCATGAAAATTGTGCCACATTTATTATGTACGCCCCAAGAATTTACAATAAGGTATTTAAAATCCGTTTTGTAAATATTTTAAATAGAGATAATAACTAGCTCTACACTTTACTACAGTATATAAAACTTTCCCAAGACAACTCCTTTTATCAGTACGCTGCAGTTAAATAAATTGATTTTAAGACATAGTAAATCCACTAAAAGTTTTCACCAAAGTGTCCTTTAATATTTTAACTCTCGTCTAAGGAATTATTTTTTTATTATTATTATGAATATGTATCTATAAATTTTCTTAGAGCCACTTCGGAGAATTCCAAGTTTGTGCAACTTTATGTTACATAATATAGTAGCGTTGAAATATATTCCGTATTAAAGGGTAAACTCCTAAACCACCACCCTCCCCCTCAAAAAATATCTATGTCGAAATATGACATAGATTTTATCTTATTTAATTCTAAAAACATGTCCGTTAATAGTTCATAGTTATAAAACTACAATTCATTCAGTAAATAATTTTATCATTCACAAAAATGCGCTGAACCTATTTGATACATGTTGGTGTACATTACAAATTCATATAATTTAAATTCATTAGATGCATCATTCTTTCCATTTAATAAAAAAATTTGATGAGAATTAAAGGTCCTTAAAATGATTTAAAAATTATAACACTTGGCCTTTACTAGTATCTAAAATTAAGAATTATTTATTTAAATAAGTAACATATTCAATAAAAATCAGAATAAAACTACAATCTCAATGTGTATTTTAAAGCAGAGTAAATCTAAGATTTTTTAAAAGAATAGGCGAGTAAAAATATTTTTAAATAATAGTTCAAAGTTTTTTTTATAGAACTTTCAAAGTAAACGAATTAGTAAGTTAATAAATGTGGAATAACTATGTACAGTTCTTAAATAAATAATAATGATAATAATTATGTTATGTGTTTATAGGGTTTTTCTCCTAAATACATAATTCTTATATGATATACTTATACAGAGTGTTCAGTAAGTCNTCAGTAAGTCAGGAAACGGGTTTCTATTGTTCTCATTGTTACAAACAATGAGAACAATAGAAACCCGTTTCCTGACTTACTGAACACTCTGTATATTCAATTCATAAATATTGAATTTTCATTTACCGCAGAAAAATAATTAACATAGTTTACTGAATAAAAAACATAACAATACTATGAAACTTAATATTTTTTCATTGTTGTGGTTAACTAATAACATTTATTAGCTAATTCATACCATAGTTATAATGAAAATAGGGGTTCTGTGTTTTAAATAAAATTACATTAAACCTTTTTCATCATTTAATAAGATCAATTATGTACTTACACGACGTCCCATGCTAACCACACAATGGAAAAGTGACCCCAACCTAGTTTTTTGACAATATGGTAACGCTCGTTAATTACAGACCCTATTCGAACAGGAAAGTATGAATTTTCCTTGTAATCGTTAGGCTCATCGTTCTCAGAATCAGAAGATTTAAGCAGTTCTTCCGGATTGACTTCAACAACATCTCCATTATAAATGTCTGACTCGTGTGGCTCTGACCTGAAATAAAATAGCTCATTAGTAAAAAAAAATTAATTAAATCATATTATCTTGTTCTATAATTTAATAAACACTTAGTTCTTAGGAAATTTGTGGAAACCATAATCAAAAAATTATACCTACATAGAAATAGTATTTCTACTTAAAATTCCATACTTTTATATTAAATATAATTACATAAAATCACCAATATTGACAGTTAGATTCATTATAGATTAATTTAATTCAATGCTCTCATCATAACTTTACACTTTAAATTGTTTACGTAAATGTAAACTTGAAACTTTTAGTTAAAAGATGAAATCAGAAAGCTTTAGTAAAAATAAAATTAAGTTGCCAGACTATGTATAAATAATTACAGTCGTGTAATGAAGTATAGAAAATATAATTGAATGCTTCTCTTTTATCTCCAAAATTAATTACGATGTTAATTTATATAAATATGTGTTAGTTCAAAAAAAAAAGTTTCAGGTGTACCTAATACTATTAATTACTAAGACAATACTAGAACTACATAAAAACTCACATAGAAACATAGAAAATATCTATTCGATATACTTGGATATGTTTATTGTAATGGTGTCATGTTATCAATATTGTGAAAGAGTATAAAATATAACACAGACCGCACAGCCACTACTAGCGACTGATGAGTTGACAATAAAAATAATAATTGTGAAATTAAAAATCGATCTAACATTACTTAAACCCAAAAGACCTGTCCATCGTGGTCAGTCAACTCCAGTGCTTAGCATTTTTCTTTGCGTCATTCATAAATCTCAGTACTTGATTGTCGCTGTGCGGCTTTCTGTATCAAGTCAAGAGTTTGTTCATTCCTTCTGACGTCCTTTACACTTACCTACTTTCGTCCTCTACATTTAAAAGCACTTGTGTCTTGCACTTATACCTAGGCGTTATACTTATTTCTTTTCTATGACAACGACCTTTTCGATACCCACAATTAATCCGGAGTGTCAGCCGAGCCATACAGTGAATGCTGTACAATCACACGCACGTGAATATCAACTCATCATTACCTGAGTATACTCAACTTATCCACGCTATCTATAATGGTTTGTTTTGTATTACGACATTATGAATATATTGTAATCGAATAATTAGTAATTGGTTTAGAGTTTTATTTTTAAGACATCTGCTAAATAAAAAACTTCATTACTTGGAAAAATGAAAAACTGTCATTATATTTTCATAGTACTATTAGAACTAACTGTTTATTGTGTACTAGTTTATTTAAAAATTAAAACAATTTATAAAGTACATCATTAAGTAAATAATGTGTAGAAGAAATTTATAAACTAAAGAAGTAAAGCAAACGGTTGTACATACAAGCGAATATTCCGAAAATGCACATTAAATTCGAACCCATCGCTTTCTTAATGCAAAATAGTAATAAAAATAATAATCAAATAATTTTTTTAGGTTTTTTTTTCTGTAAATAAAGATTTACTTAAATAATTTAAAAAACATGTACTGTTAATTTATTAAAAAAACCTTTCGTAACTATCAAATTTAACATTGATCAACAGCAACTACCGTTGACTCTACTAACTTTTTATGTTTAATCGTCAAATTTTCGTGACCAACAATACCCATAAACTTTATCGTTATCATTAGAAAACGGCTAAAATTTTACCCCAGTAATTATTTGATATTTTTATACATTACACACGCAATCCTACTTTACTGCCATCGACTTTTCAGGCGTGGTACAAGAAATGTTTTTAATTAACACTTTATTTTTTTTTGCTTCCAAAAAAATTACTTAGTATATTATTTATTCTTTTTATAAAATATTTTGTTACTTATATAAATCAGTTGTTCAGATGTATTTTATCTAATCAATATTATTATGTATTAAAATATTCTTCTATTTACTTTTTATTTTCCATAAAGGTTCATTAGTTGTATTTTTTATTATTAGACTACACGTGCACATAATTACCGTACTAGGATAGGTGCAGCTGATCTGATTAGCCTTTTATGTTTGCGACCGTATCGACCATTGATTACCGATGAGGATACGCTGGTTAGAGGCAAAGGTGGCAAGCTACCACCGGTCGTTTCGTAGTCACTGCTTGCAGATCTCCTTCGGGCCTTCACAATATCCACTCCTCCACAAGCAGACAATGCGTAAACGACTGCGGTCAATGCAATCAACTGACAGACACACTTGGAAGTATGTCCTGCCACAGTATCGGTAGGCGTTCCGGTGGATCTTGAATGGTCACCACCAGTAAAGTTAGCGTACCACATCGGACTCGCAACAAATACGATTACTTTTACTGATGAGAGAATAGGCGTCTAAATTGACTACTCAAAATCCGATACAATGGGCAAGTCGCATTCGTTTTCCTACGACCTCCTTGTAACGATCGATTTCCACGTGGTCGACAATGATTGCCCCTATCTTCGCCATAATAACTTAGACAATACCCAACAATTCGCTAGGCGACACGCGAACTACTAACGTAAGTTACTAAACGTCGGTCAGGCAAAATAATTTTAACTCAGCAGCCAGTACACAGTAATTTATTATTGGCACTAGCGTGTTCCACAGACCATACCAGTACCATAGGACGCATGAAATGACGTATTAGATGTCAGCTACGTACTGCGCATAGACAAAACCTTGTTATCATTTCTAAATCGCTGCACATGAAAATAAAACGGAAACAAAGTTTTGTATTCCAAGTTCAAGTTCTTATATCCGTGCCGGATTTAATCATGTGTCTGTTTTTAGAAAATAATAGATTAAAAAACGTGTTTTTAATTTCTAAGTGTTCTTTGAATGTTTATAAATAGTTTTCAAGACCGTTATAGAACAATAAGCAAACATTATTTTTATTTTTAATAAACACCGAAAGTTTTTGAATGCTTACAAGATTATTTCAAAGTTAAATATATTATAATACACTTATTAGATATAGACAGCGCAGGTATATTTATCTTAAGGTGTCAACTAAAAAGGATGATTTTTTACCTTACCAACAACAGTCATGATGACTTTTATTATGTTTTAAATCGTAGAAAATCAAGCAATATATTTTATGTGCAAAATTAGAAACTAATAGAAAAAATCGATATTTTTTTAAATGATATCGTGTTTAACAAAAAACAAACACAGATAATCAACCGATGAATTCTTGAAATTAATAAATTTTATAGGACGATACATTTATACAGCAAATAGACGTATTGAAAACCAATTATCTACCAAAAAAAAAGTACAACCGCACAACTAATATTAGTGACAGTTATTTTATCTTCTTAAATCAATTAGGTAATTTATCAACACTAATTTGTGTTTTAATTTTGTTGATATAGTATAATAAAGAAAACATAGAAAATTAATTAAAGTTATGATTTTAATACATAGCTTCTTAATGAAGTTTTTTGTTCAATTCATTATATTATTAGTATAAACTTTAATTTATAAAAATTAAAAATTTAAATATTGAAATAATGTAAAATTATCTTCATAAAATTCAAATTAGACTTAGATATTTCAAAAAATAACCAAAACCTTTAAAGAATATTTATTAAAAATTTGTAAAATTAAAGATGTTTCCAAATAAGGAATATAGTATTTTTATGAAGTTTATTTTAAAATATGCATATCTTGTATACAATTAATGTATTGAATTTGAACTAATGGGTTATTAAATTAAATAACTAGTATGAACATATCTCATCCATTCAATGCAAAATAATTTAAGTTTATTTTTAGATAGATCTGTTACTAAGGATTAGGTCACCCAGGGCTCTTGGGGATCTCTTACGGCAATCGCATAGACACATCCTAATGTCAGTTATTGATTACTATGATATGAATCGTGTTGTATTACCAATTAATATTTTTAAATGTGAACTTAAACATCAAATTATTTACTTAATTTACGTACATTTTATAAACATTTAGTTTGTTTACAAAAGACACTAATAAAAATGTGTTCATATTTCACATCTGTTTAAGTAAAAAATGTTATTATTTGATATAAAAAATACAATTTTAAAGAAAAATGGTACAAAATAGATAGTGAGGATTTTGACTACGTGAAAATCAATAAAATTATTCAGGATTGTCTTGACACAAAATAATATTTAGTTATTATCCTTTTACGCTCTTGCAGGTAAATATAGGAAATAGTTCCATCAATTATGAAAATAAATATAAAGTGAATATGTATATTGGAAAGGGTAGTCAACAAATTTCTTAAATTTCTTAAACATAAATTCCCCCTCTTAATACAAAACTCTGAAAATTAGTTATTACTAATTACACAATTACATATTACCTAATTAGGATATAGTGGAAACACTAGTTGCTGGTAATTTATAGAGTTATGTCACAATATCACAACTGTAATTTTTTAAATGGTACACACGAAGGATTTTCCACTAATACAAAATTATCATGTCCCTAATTATAAAAGCAATGAAAACCATTGCATTTGATTCTTTATCTTGTATAAACCATATCAACTAAAGTTGCATGGTATCAAACCAACCATTTGGTTAATAACCGGAAGGAAAATTACCCAACTATAATAGAGCTTTTGTCGTATTCTTGCGTGAAAACATTTTTCTGTTTTACATATTCAAATTCAAAGAAGTTTGTAAACTGAGGAAAAATATGTTATTAAACTGAAATTCAAACATTGGCTAGCCGTTTTCAAAGATAGATTATTGAAGAATAGATAAATGTAAGTGAAATAACATAAAGACGTTATCATTGCTTATTTTGAATTATCGTTATAAAATGATTTTATAACGGCAACTAAAACTATTATATAAAAAAATTATATACGTGAAAAGCATTCGCCAGTTTGTCATTTTAGATACACATAATTTTAATTCAACGTCCCATAACAATATTTATACATTTCAGTACATAAACACAAAGATTCATTAGATATTTATAGAAATATGTACTATGAAATCGTTTTTTTACTATATTAAACAAACATATAAATAGTTAGATATTATCTAGTTTGGTTATAAAAACATGCAAATGTAAATAATAATACATTTAAAAAGATTAACTTATTCATCATTTTAGTTTTATAAAAATTTCTCTAAAATTAAAATAGGTAAAATAATCATTTTTTTTTTAATGTTTTGCAATAATTATTTGACGATGTTAATTATTAATGTGATGTATTCATAACAGAATAATGAAAAAACATCTAAGGGCAAAAACTTAACGGATGTGGATTTGAAAAAAGTTTTAAATTTGATATAGGACATGAATACCCATCGTATGATGTTTTAAATAGGTTGAACAATTTTGAAGTAGTGACCATACTAATACACTTTTATCGAACCTTATAATATTAAATGTGAAAAATATCATGTATAATGACTTATATTGTGCTAATATGTATAACCTTATTCATTATATGATTTTATGAGTATTATGTTGTTTTGATTCTTCAAATTAACAATTTGACGTTAAAAATATATTCTTAAGCGAATTAGTTACAAAACACATGGTTTTTCAATGGTAAAAGCTAGTAGAATTATTGTCCTATACCTTTTTGGCTAATGTATGTATACAGATATTACATTGAACTATTCTAAGAAGACATAATTTTATATGTTGATTATCTATAATTTTTTTTACAAAATAGTTATTCAGAATTTAATCTCAACATCTACATTACGTTGCCGAAAAAATAACAGACATGATGTCAATAATGATCTTCAATATTCTACAATTAAATATTTTTCCCTAATGAATAATATAGAAGAAAAGTCAATAATATTTTATTAGATAACGAAGAAGAAAATATCGCTAACATTAAAAATTGTTACTTTTATAATATAATAGATAAAACAGATGATTAGAAAGTCATAATCATGAAATTTAGCGAGTAAAGTAAAGGTAATTTTAAGGCGATATATAATAATATACAATACGAATACTTGGCGGTAAAAAATTATAAGTGGTTTGATTTTTTGTAATTTCGAAAATATTAAATAAAATTAATCACCTTATTTCTAGAGTTATTTTTCATTTGATTAGAAAATATGTCATGTATGAATTTTTAATGCGATAAAGAAAACATTAATAAAATTTTAAAATGTTACAAGAAAAAAAAACCTCTGAAATAATATTTATTAGATGACATCATTTAAAAAATCTTGAAAAAATATTCAACTATTATAGAATATTTTGGTAATCTACCATTTTCAAACAGTCTATTAATAGATGCACATATGGTAATACTTTTAAATATTAAAGAAATGATAAATGATGTAAAAACGATTGATTTGGAATTGGTAAATAAAGATATAACACATTCTAGGTACTTATGATATATAGAGTATTAAACTGATGAACTAATTATAGCTGCTAAAATGGAAAAAGAGTTTTCAATAAAAAAAATTCTAAAATCGCCAATCCAACATAATGGAATAATAACTTTACGAGAACAGTTTTATTTGTAGAGTATAAAAAAAATGTATTCGAAAGCATTCACTATTTGATATTAAACAAGTTTTTATTAAAAATTATTTGAAGAACCCTAGTCTACATGTATACTATATATTATACTGTATACGAATAATGAATTCTTTTAAAAAAAATTTTACTGTGAAAGTAAATTTATAGAATTAATTTGATTTTAAAAGAAACTAATTAATTAAATGGGATATATATTTGTGATATATTACCATTAGGTTCATAGTTCTACACTGTTACATAAAACGATCAAATACATGCTGCTCATTGAAAATAAATATCTAACATGTTCTTATCTTCAATAAGAAAGTCATGATAAAGGAAATAGTATTTAAAATGTTCTAATATCAAAAGGTATTAATAGTTTTTGTTCTTTTCAATTAGGTGCTCATCTAGTCATAAATTTTATGATTTTATTGTTATAGATCAAAAAAATGTATAGTTAATGAAAAAAATTTTTTAACATATGAAAAATATGCTTGAATAATAAATGTACAACATTTATTTGACTACCTATTTTATAAAGTTAAAATTATTCAAATTTTAATGAATGAAGAAAATCTTTGAAAGTAACTTTTACTATTGTTAATAAAATTTGCAAAGGAAACTAAAGAATTAATTTGAAAATTTCTGAATGATAAGAATAAGAAAACTATTGTACTAAATAATACAGTCACATCACTTTGGAAAACTATTCGGTGAGTATTAAAATATATTAAAACAAAAATTTAACTTAACTACTAAATATTACACGGCTATCGATATTGAAGGTTGATTACTCATAAAGGATAAGTTAATAGAATGTTTTTTGTTTTTTAATCGTATATTACATTAAACTAGCTTTAATTAGAAATAATTTGTAATGATGTAAATATTCCATTACTATTATGTTATGAGTATACTATCTTGGTTAATAATAGCATTTTCAAAAGTAGTATGTTGTCGGCATTGTGTATTTAGCACGGGTGGTAAATAAATTAGAAATATACACCAGTATGAGCTGAAACCACCTAAATCACATACTCACACTATGTATATTAAACTCGATAAGTTCTTATGTTAAAGTTGTTATCGGCTTATNATAATAGCATTTTCAAAAGTAGTATGTTGTCGGCATTGTGTATTTAGCACGGGTGGTAAATAAATTAGAAATATACACCAGTACGAGCTGAAACCACCTAAATCACATACCCACACTATGTATATTAAACTCGATAAGTTCTTATGTAAAAGTTGTTATCGGCTTATCAANTATATTAAACTCGATAAGTTCTTATGTTAAAGTTGTTATCGGCTTATCAAAACTTTATGTAATAAAAAATCAATAATAAATTTTTTTTAATTTTTTCAAAATTAAAATAAAAAAAAAAGATTTTTTGTTATTATAAAAAATAAATAACAAAAAATATGCTAAAATGTAGTCTAATTGTGCAAAAATTGATTTAAATAAAATGTTAATTGTAATTATGTCAAAAATTATAAGAATTGTCAGTTACATCTGTTTCATTCTGTATATTCAATTTATAATAAGCTATTTATCTTTTTATTCGGCTTGGCAATTTAAGCTACACATACTCTGTCCAATTTTCCTATAGTAACTGATTAATTAAAAGTCAATCATTAACTAACCAATAGCTTAAATTAAAAATATTTCATTAAGAAAAGTAATGGAACATATATTAGTAGACTAAAAAAAATACTGCAATTTAAAAAAAAAAACATTATTTTTGTGGATATTTTAGTATAGTAACTTTTGCATTTGTATTTTTTAGTAAACAATTTATTCGTAAACCATACCAATTACTTTTATTCAGAAAACATTTTATACGAAATAATTTCAACATTAATACTTTAGAAATATACCTCTAACATATTGTGAGGACGTATTATTCATTGCCAAAGTATTTTTTGAGAATAATGAAAAATAAATTGATTATTTTGTTATCAAAATAAAATATTCTAGGGATATTAAACTATTTTATTGTTATCTGAGAAGTTAAGTCATGCCCATTTTATAAAGGTACATACTAAATATAATGCTTATTTAAATAGAATTAACCATCAAAGGCCCTACCATTGATCATAACAATTATAATAATTATTATTTTAATGTTGTTCAAATAATAATTTTGAATCTTAAATAGAGTAAAATAGTCAAACGTCTAACAAACTTGCCCACTTATACACTACCGTTCCCACGTGCACGCCTCACAACTCTTTTAACGTACATTTATCGATTTTTTCTTATCACTTGAACTCTAACAACTGTTTGTAAACACACTAACACGGTAAGTGTGAACTCATTGCTTATCAATCAGACTTTCTTCTAACATACAAAATATTCATAAACATATATCGAACTTTTATCTATATTTTTTCAATTGAATATTAAATAATATGTAATGTTTTATACTCACAAGCTACATCGACCTTTGTACGATGGCATTGTCTTGCGCCTATTAAAAGGCGGAGACAACGATAGCGACATAAACGGGTATTTGGCCGTAGTCGATACTTCGGCTTCATAATCGGAACGTATGGCCTGTGACGGAGTTCCTGAATCGTACCCTCAACTAGCTCCTTCGACAGTATCAAATGACCGCGATCCACTGACCACTGAACCGGTAATCGACCGACGACCGCGAAATTCGACGGACAACTTCCTCAGTACAACGGGTAACTGACGTTCAGTAGTCTTAAAACATTTGCCATCTACCACATCTTCGACTTTAAGACTGCTATCATCAATCACCGCCTTGTGCTTGCTGTCGGTCGAGTCAATCATAATATTTGTTCAAATGTTTTTTGTAGTAAAATCAACTTTAATTTAGAGTAATAATTATGTTATATTATGTAACTATGACGTACGTACAAAATACATATTACTAATAGAAAAAAAATATATGTCACAATGTAATTTTTAAATTGCAACGAAATTTATAGGATTGCTAGTGAGCGGTTGTTGGAATGATCTCACCAGGAGTCGTGTTAGTCAACTGAGTCGCAGCTGAATTTAACAGTGGTATTGCCTATTGATAATATAACAGGTCGTGATGCACCACTTTCACCCGACTAACGCGCCTGTGCACGCAATTTTACCATACTTATAAATGATTTCTATGGAAACAGCGGTCCGCGCGGCCGAGACTTGAACCATCATAATTACAGTCGCCGTAAAGGTACAATGGAGATGACACTACAATTTAAGTGTGCAAATATTTTGTATTAAACATGTTTTTATTTTTATTGAATACTCGAAACAAAATACTTACTAATTTTTCAAAATTTTAAAAGCTCAAATATTTTTTAGTTGATACATCTATAAGATATAAGGAATAAAAAAAAGATATTTTCAAAAAACTCATTTTTTTAAGATTAATTGATTGACTAGTGCCAAAAATCACTTTGTAAAATAAAATACAATTGAAAATATATTTAATTAAATAATTAAAAACAAATAATTAAATCAATTAAATGAAATATTGATTTTGAACGAGTATTCGTTAAAATAAAAAACATAGCCTGGTAGACCGTTCCCATTAATCGCGTATTTAGACAAATATTTATAATCCCATTGATTCGTGTCACAAATACCAACAATCGTAGGGAAGATGACGAATAACAAATGTCGAACACTCGTACAAGTACACCGTTCCTACTGTTTGATAAATATAGACAAATAACGAATATTCGGAAAATAGACGAGTAACAGGAACTCGGTTTAACAAAGTTGAATTTGTAATTAATAATAGAAATATGACAGTATCACTTTTGTACGAAAAATGGTATTATATTGAATACTTTATTTTCATCATATTTTATTATAATTATTTTCTAAACAACTTGACTATTTTGGTATTACCTTCTCAGTAAATAGAAAATTTCTTTTTTTGTATTTTGCTATAACTACACTGCAATTTTAAAAACTATAGGTAATTAACTTTTTAAAATTATTAGCGAAAAAACGATAGGAAACATTGTTTATAACGTTATGCATTACTTAACACCAATTAAAATCTTAACTCTCTAGCAGTTTGAGTAATTTCTTTCATTTTTGATGACTTTAATGACAAAATTTAAAACACTTGAGTTGTCATTTAAATGCTCTATGAACTATCGTAACTCAAAAATTAATAAAATAAAATAAATGGTGAGTATATTGTAGAGAGTTAGATTGAGAATGAGAGTTACTTTTAATTCGGGTTGAGGGTTACGAAATAATATAAATATTAGCTCTTATAAATTTAAAAAAATCTTACCTGATAATTTTTTCTTAGTTCTTATAATATCTTAAATAATAGTATTAATCAATAATTGATAAATAAAATAACACAATTCGATTTAGTTCAACTTAGTTTAAAACTTTAACACGAAAGAACTTCAATAATGATGATCACAATGTTCGTGTAACATTGTCTAGAGCACAGTAACAGCAGACTACAGTAAAGGTTTGCTCTGCTTTTTTATAATACTATGAACCCCCAAAAATCATCATTGTCTTATTCTTACAATATTACTGTTTATTGACAAGCAAAAATAAAATATAGAAATTATTACAGATAAATAGTATACAAATAATTTTGACATCAACATAGTTTTTTTACGCATAAGATTAGCGTTGATACAATGCATTTAATTATTAAAAATAGAATTAAAAAAGATGACAAAAATAATTTATAGATTTCTTTTCGGAACGAAGGATTTTTAAAGAGACTAATAATTGACTTATGATTGAATCGTGTATATTGTAATATAACTAAACAGTATTGTTGACTATTGTTATGGACAGGAATCTTAATTGAAGAATGAATGTGGCAAACGTTCTATGTGCCAAAAAAGTGAAAAATTGTTTTATTTCTGATTTATGTTCTATGTGCCAAAGGCCACAATCTTGTATGTGTTTCAAATGTCAATTAAATTTTTTACTTGTACAAAATTGCATTCATAGATGGTGTTCGTTATGTGAGACATGCCATTGTTACCATTGTTTTTTGTGTTTTCTGAACAAATATGTTTTTGGCACATAGAACGTATGACACATTAACTCTTCAATTAACTAAAATTTAATGACAATACTCTTCAATATTAACAGAACAAATGTAACTTTATTATCGCTAATCATAATATTACATAGATTACTATACCGATATTACTACACAATTAGATATTTAAATGGTTTATGTGCAACCTGGTTAGTTCATTTATTCCGTCTTCACAAAAGGATAAGAAACGTCCTCCACGACGGCTTAAATTCAAAATAAATATTAAAAAAAAAAAAAAATAGGAGGATTAAAAGTTAGGGGTTCCCTAATCATTTTTTTCTTAATACACCAATTCAGTTAACATTAATTTTTTAAAAACACATTCAAATAAGACAGTAAAATGTATTAAATTTTTTTTTAATTTTTCAATTTTGATACAATAAAGGTACTTTTTTCTTTAACTATAATATCCGTTTTCTTCACCATGACAAGTCAAAAAGTTAATAAAAAATATTAATTAAAAAAATATATATACTGATTTACACATTTTTCAAAAAGTTCAAGCAATAAAATTCAAACATTATATTTCGAGTATGTTAACACAAAAATAGTATATTTTAACTATAGCAGCCATTAGCACATAAATGATAATAAGTCCAGAAAATTTTTTTTCTTTTAATTTATAGTACGGCATACTAGAAAAATTCTATCTCAAAAAATTATTAAATAATATACACATAACCCGCCCAGAAAGACTAAAAACATAAAGCTATTTCGACGCCGCGAAGAAGAATTATATTTATATATATAAAGTAGAAGCAGACACTTACAGAAAATAATAATAATAATAAACACAAAAAACACAACAAATTACATTTACGAGCAGGAAATATGATCAGTTTCGACTATGATTATTCCTCAACAACTGATATTTCGGTCCTGCTAGTTCAAAGGAGGCGCCTAAACGGCTAGAGCCTTTTAGAGGTAAGGTGACAAAATTATAAAAATAATACCGGAAGTTTCCAAAAAAATGTAAATTATTATCCAATGACAATGACAATGGCATTGTATTTGACACGTTTACTACTTGTCATATACATAATGGCGTTTAAAACGAAATTAGAGGTACAGGTCGGAGTAACTGTACACACAAACGCGGACTATTAATTCAGTATCAAAAAGTAGACAAACCTACCTGCATATCACAACACCTTATCATGACTAATGTAAATAATAAATATAATAAACGCTGTCTCAACTAAAAGTTTGATAACTAACTAAAATATACAAATATATACAACGAAACATAAAAGGGTAGCTTTTTTTGTCCGTTTCAAGCTATTATAGCAATACAAAATTAGAAATAGCTTAAATAATTTTTTAAAAGAATAATGAAATAAGATTGTAATAAATTCAACAAATTATCTGTGTATTGTTGTCTTATTTGTATGGGACACTTGAATTTTTAATTCACGGTTAAAATTAAACAATTGTTTCGGAAATTATAATATTTTATCATGTTCATTATTTATATAAAAAAAATTTATTTTTATAAAATATAGAATGAAACAGCTGCAAAAATAGTATTAAACTTGTATAAACTATTAAGTCGCTGTTAATATAATATCATTCAACATATATGAGAAGAAGAGCACATTATTAAGAAACTTCTTTCTAATTATAATTAGGTCGTATAATAATATCGTAAATTCGACGATGAATTTTCAATCAACATTTTTAACATTATATTCAATTTTTTTGCATCCTGAAAAATGTGTAGACAGTGAATTTAAAGTAAAGTATATATCATTTTACAAAAAAATATTGTCTTTTTATAAAATAAATTATTAAAACATCAACACATTTTTTTAATTAAATAACTAAGAAAATTTCTATTTATTCATTTAAGAGCATCTTTAATAAACAAAATCACATTATTATTTTATATCTGTCTTGACAATAACGCTACTTTTAATAAACTATACTTGAAAATATATAGAATGAGTTACTTTATTTTTATTTTACTAAAATATTTGGTCATTAAGTTATTCTGATAAAAAATAATGGAAATTAAAAAAAAAAACAAAATGTGCATGAGGTATAGTAGACAAGTATAGATGATAACTCATAGTAATTAACAACATTATCGTAGTAAAATGCTAAGGTGCGAATCTATTAATTTGTTGTTAAAAAAGTGCTTTATAATATAATTACATATTAAAAGTTAGCCTCCAGCACATTAAACCAAAGTGATACACAATATCAATAACTTATGGAAATTTTGTTAAAATTTGGGCTTTAGTATTTATAGAAGATTAATTGTTGAAAAGTTTTACTTTTTTCAATATTATAGTATGTTTAACAAAATTTAATTTAACGCAGATTTTAATTTGTTAGATGAACATTTTCGAAAATAAAATAATTTTTTATCTTTTGTAGTTTATTTCTCATAGTTAAACAATAAGCAGAGAATTTTTTTTTTAATATTGTAGTACACAAAAAATTTTTATGTAGGCTAAAAGTTGTTAGATAATCCAAAACATTTTTTAAAAATTTAGTTGAAAATAATTTTTTCACATATGTAAGTCTCTTTTAAACCCTTCTATAATTCGGTTTTCTTCGGATTTTAATTAAAAATATTCCATAAGTAGTATAAATTATCAGATTTACCAAAACACAGGATGTACTTTTTTTATTTATTTAAGTATATTTTTGCAAACATAACAACATACATTAACTTTAAAATACTCAAAAAGTAATTTTTATATTAACCTTCACATCATCTTTGAAAGACGTTTATATTATATTATATTATATGTTAAATTTTTTCTACAGTTAAAAGTTTTTTTAAAAACTAAAAAAACCAAATAATAGATACAATTTATTCGTGTTTATGTTTTTGACAGTTATCTCTTTAAATATTAAAAATAAAAAAAAATTGTGTATAAATAAAATTGTAATTTATTTATTTTTTTAAATGTATAAATATAATCGTTACCTTTTCTATTAAAATTAAGGAAAATGACAAAAAATGAGATTCTCCGGAAAAATAATTTACAAGAATTACAAATAATACTTGATTTTTGTAGTTGGAACATTTTTGAACTCTTTAAAAGATTTTGCATAAAAAATGACTATCATATGTGATGGGTCAGAAATTTTTTTTTATTTGTAAACTAGTTTACTAGTTTATTATAACCACATTCGCTTCTCAGATTTGCATCAAAGCTAAAATATTTCTTAAATGCTAAATTAAATAAACCAAATTATATACAAAAAATATAAAAATATACTTCTAATAATCACAGAATATTGTATAGTAAAAATCTTTTAAAATTATTATAATTGATGTATAGATCAATAATAATTTTAATTTTTCTACCTTACATTTACGCTTCGTTTAAACAACTTTTTTTACTCTTCTTCTTTATCCCAACTACTTCGGGTCGGCCACTCTTATCCTAAATTTTCACTTGACATAATCTTCCACAACATCTACACACACATCAACTATCCTCGTATTGTATTCAATAAAATACCTCCATCTCTTTTTTGGTCTTCCTCTACATTTTCTTCCTTCAATATTCATTTCTATAACTGTTCTTACAGCTTCCGTTTCATCTCTCCTTATAACATGACTATACCATTTAAGTCTATTTTCTCTCATCTTATCTACGATTGACGCTACACCTATACTCCCTCTTATGTTCATTCCTTAAACAACTTTATTTATATAAACAGTTATATTAATATTTTTTTTAGTCATGTATTATAATTACGACTGTACATGAATAAATGATTTAAATGCATAAAAGATAACAATTATGTGCATTTTGATACTAATTTACCAAAATCCATATCTTTTAATGCTTTAAATATTAATTCAGTATGCTGTATTGATGGAATAAATTTAATATATTCGTGTACTTAATATTTTGTGCTATCTTTATTGGTCTTATAAAGCCAACCCAACTTACCTTCACTGTTTCCTTTCAATAGACCTTTGATCACTAAAATATGCATAGTGACGATTGCATTATCTATGAGTGCAAAAAAAAAATTAGATTGTTCTCCTTAATTAATAAGTTATTAAACAATCAATTTCCCTAATATTAGAAAAATTATTGTTTTATTTAAATTAAATTGGATTTTTCAATAGAAATATGTTGATCAATAGAGTAAAATAAATAATGAGAGTAAAAGTTTTTTCTCTCTTGAAAATTTAAATTTATTTTTAATTTAACTTATTTAACTTACTTTTATATTTTTTCCAGAAAATTTCTTGGATAAATGAGTTTCATGATGAAATTAGTTACAATAAAAAATTAATTAATCTTCTAAATGAAGTAGAAACATGGAAAGTAAAAAATCAAAATAATAGCGACACTTTCTATTTTGACGAAAAAGAAACAAAACTTCTAACAAACAGATGTAAGGAAGATCTTAATTGTTTAAAAGATAAATCAAAAGCTATAGTTAAATATAAACAAAAATTAGAATCAGTGCAGTGTATTAATGCAGCTTTTTCTATGCTTATACTTCCTGATCTATTCATTGCATTATTGTGGAAAGTACCTGTTAAAAATATTTCAAAGGATGCGTTTCATTTTTATCGCCAATCAATCGCTCGAATGATTTCTTTGATGTATATGTCTTATGTTCCAACTCACAATTGGCTATGGTCAATCTATTCTATTTTGTTAGACATTGAATATCAACAAAAATCAAAAATGCCAATAAACGTAGATCAATTTATGATAATGAAACTCAAGGATGATTTATCGCAACATTTGAATCTTTGCATAACTTACAAGTATTTGACAGAAGTTGATAAACCGCGGGCGACGGAAAAGATTAGGTATGAAGAAAATATTAAGAAACTTTGTTATGCACTTTATAATAATAAAGACAAATATTCATACCTTAATTCAGTTTATTCATTTTCGAAAAAATTGGAATTTAAGTATTTGGCAATTTTAAATATTATTAAACTTGGGAGAATGATGTTTGATTTTGTTCCTTTATTATCTTTAAATTGGGAGAATACCAAATTGTTAATGGGAATCGAGGAAATTAAAAATAATTTAAATAGGTATTTTTATATAATTATACAAATAGTTAACACAAATGTATTGTATCTTATATGGAAGCATCTAGCGGTTTTAGAAGTCAGCTTAAGTCATATATTAACTGATACATTTGGAAATGAAGAAGTCAAAGACAACTTTGAATTCTATCGCAATACTTTGGAAAAATCACTAGAATTAGTAGTACAACAACTTGACATCAAAGATTCTGTTATTATCAGTATCTTACAAGGGTTAAAATTTAGAATAAGTGGTGATAACTTATGCAACAAAGTAGTAAATAATCTAAAATTATTATTAGACCAAATAAAGACTGTAATATCAGAAGACCTTCTCATTTTAAACATTAATTCTAACGAAATAAAAGAACTATTTTCAACTACTAAATTAACTCCAGATATTCATTATAATACAACTATTGATGAATTTAAACATTATACTAATCAAATTGAAAATTTCGCAAACAGTATCGATCAAATTCTACAACCAGCCAACTTTAATTTCATAAGGTTCTTTTTTGATGGAAAATTAAATTTAACAAAAACTTTTTTTATGATAACATAATATAAATATCTTTATCTACCTATAAATTTTAATTTAATTTTGAAAAATTAAATTCAGTGTATGTTTAAAAAGAAACTTTCTTGTATTAAAAAAAAATTTTTCCATTGGAATAATTCCCAAATAGTCACTCGTTTAAGAAACAAAAGTTACATGCGTTAGACTTTTAGTCAGCGTCGTACACTCGGTCCTCCTATACAGGTCCCCGGTTTGAGCGGATACTCTCGAGTATTCGTCCAAAAACCATGAAGCCCTGCTCAGGGTGCAGAGGCGGGCGGCGATTCGGACCGTTTTGGCGTACCAAACGGTGTCCGGAGTGGCGATGGGTGTCCTGTCGTCACTGCCGCCTGCCGACCTGCTCGCCGAGAAATGCACGCCGGGCATGAGTTCCGCCGAGAACGCGAGGATCGGCTGGCGCTCAGGAGAATGACCACGCTCCGGTGGCGTACTCACCTCTCGGAGGAAACGACGAGAGGCAAGTGGACCAGGTCCCTCATAGGACCCGATCGGTTAGACCGAACTCACGGCGAAAAGACTTATCGTCTCACCCAAGTGATGTCCGGCCGCGGCTGCTTTAACGTGTACTTACACCATATTTGCAAAGCAGCCGCGCTGACGTGCGTCCACTGTTCGGATCATCCGGGAGGGGCAGACAGTGCTCTGCACAAGCTCTTCCGGTGCAAGGAGTGGGACTCTTTGGAGTCTTGACCATGTTCCGAGTCGTGTCCATTGTGGTCCCGATGTTGAAGAACCGGGGGAATCCACACCACGTTGTGAACCAGCTCTTCATTAGTTTCGGGCTGATTCACAACGTGGTGGTGTGAATTATAGAGACAGCGTGGGCCGCCCTAAAGTAATGCCTAACGGCAGTTTAATAATGCTGATCGTTAATAGTTAATAGTACTCACATACAATGTGTCGACCGGCCGTCGAATTGTAAAAATGTCATGTTTAATGTTTAATGTCAATGATTTTATAGAAACATAAGTAAAATTGTTATTACATTAGATGATTCTTTAATCGCATTGTAATATATTTAATAGATTTGAAATTAAAATAAATTTGATAACCTATTTATTATTTATTAGTTGACGACCTTATCTCAAGCCGTACGGCATAGTTAAATTTCCTTTTTTTTTGGTATTAAAAACATCCTAAGTGGCGAACAGTTTCATTTCGTGGATATTTGAATTGACCTTTAAACTAATTTTTCAGCTGAGTAATGACAATCGTTAGTTAGATATCATGTTCATTTTGATTAATTAGATATTTGTGTATATTAAATCTTAATCATCAATATACGCACTTATAAGATTCTGTCCAATGAGTCTATAATGATTTAAAATCCCTTTTTTTAATACTTTATAAACTCTGTTCCTATAATACTAGCATTTTAGTAATAATATTTTTGAGATTTTTCCTACAGTCCTTGTCGATATTCTTAAAACTCCTTCTAAACTTGTCAAAATAAAATTACAAGAATATGTCTATTTATATTTAAAATATATTTAACATGAACGAGGTACCCAGCGTTTCAAAGTGGAAATCCTTGATTGGCGTGGATACAGTTAACCTCATATAAGGTATAAGGGATAACACAATTTTTTTATAATTGATACATTGACAAAAAACGATGAACTAAAAGAAGCCAATTGAAAAATTTTTATTAATATTTTTATTTTTCAATTAATTAAGTGGTTTATGATGTATTGTCATAATACACTCGTTACTATCACAGTATGAAATAATAGTGAGCTTCTCTGTTTGTGTCCACAATAATGGTCGTTCATTTAATTTTTTTCATTTAAGATTATTAAAACTTTTATTTATAAATTATATTCATAAGCTTAGAATAACATGGTTGTTTTTTCTTTAAGAAATTTATAAACTATACTTGTCAGCTCTTTTTACTCTTATCTTTATAATAAAACACTAAAATTGTGAAGCCCTAAACTTATATATAAAAACTAACTATATTAACGTCATATAAAACATCAAAGTGATTTGTATATTATTCGCTTGTATTAATTTATATATTTTATGTATTAATTCACATATTTTATGATTACTTGTCAATAAAATATTAACATTGCAAGAATGACACAATGATGATTGCTCGGGGACACAAAATACTATAAAAGGAAGTCAGTTCTGAGGGCTGAGAGAGTCTGTCTCCAGATATTCAAGGGACTGTTCTAATTGCGCTCTTTCATCGATACGTAAAGTTCGTAATCATAATTGTCGAAATTCTCACGTGTTAATTTATGAACTAAACATTGGAGTTAGTGTTATTTTGTTATTACTTGATTCCAATAAAAGTTATTATAAGAACAAAGAAAAATCATCAGGTAAGATTTCAAATCAATAAGAGTCAATACTTACATTATCTTATAACTCAATTATTTAGAATTTATAATCTGAGTACAGAACGATAAAGCAATAGATCAAATATTTATATTAATCTTTATACTTCAATTAATTATTACTGACTAGTTCGTACCTTATACATAATCACATTACATGGTATTCGTAAGATCTCCACCGCCTCTTCGTTGCCTCAGTGTATTATTGCAGATACTTACCAGTTAGGTCATTTATAATATCCCTATAAGAGGAACCTTAATTATTTATTTTTATATCTACTTGTCTTTATTGTTCTAATCCCTCAGACTCTACAACCCCGATAAAACCTCGTTGTTCACCAATTGACCAAATCCGAAAACATACTTAAACTTGGTCAATATATACAGGGTGATTTTTTTATTATAACCCACTCAATTACTTACAGAGTAAAAATATTTTAAACATTTTTTTTTTGTTATCTTAAGTTACACATTATTCTTGAATTATTAACTATATAATACTTTTTAAGTTCATCCCTTATGCCTGGTAAGGGTGTCAACTTTTTTAAATGGGAACACATATTTTGAATTTAATAAAATGTTTGAGTTTTTAATTTAATAGTAAATTGTATTTGAATTTTTAGTATAACTTTATTTGTTTATTAAATATAAACACTTAAAGTTTCAAATTTTTGAGTTAATATATATGTATAACACAAATTCAGGTAGCTAGTTGATTTTTTATGACATTGATATTAGCAGGTACACAGCATTGTTATTATCAATGGTAGTAAGGTACATTGTTGTGAGTTTATAAATACACTAACTGACAATACAGAAAGTATATCTATTGATAGTCATAATTGATAATAAACAATCTGTGACTGTGACAGCAATGTCATAAAAATTCAATTAGCTATCTGTATTGATAATCCCTTGTGGAGTATACATGTATATTAAATCAAAAATTTTAAATTTTAAATGTTTATGTCTAATAAACTAATAAAATTATACTAAAAATTCAAATGCCATTTACTATTGAATTAAAAATCCAAACATTTTATTAAATTAAAAATATGTGTTTCCATTTAAAAAAACAAAGTTGACACCCTTACAAGGCATAAGGGATGAACATAAAAAGTTTTAAATAGTTAATAATTCAAGATAATGTGTAACTAAAGAAAACCAAAAAAAAAATGTTTAAATTCTATATTTTCTGCAAGTCATTGAGTGGGTTATGATAAAAAAATCATTCTGTATACAATACACATATACAATCACATACCATCTTTATTTATTGTATTATTACAGTATATGTGATATATAGTGATAATTATACTACATATCATAGAAAGATATAACATTATTTATACCAAGCAAAGTATGAAAAATACTTATAAGTTTATATTATATTGAAATTTTCATTTTTGTAATAAAAAAAATTGATTTTCTTTTAATGAATCAGATTTATTTAATAGCACCACGCTGCAAAAAATCAATGAGCTAATAAAATGTTTCTTTATAAGACGTTAACACTTGTTAATACTTTTTAATGAATAAATTATATGTTTTTAATACTTTACTTATCATATGTCATCATCGTTGTATGTGTTATTTGTATTTTTTGGTTTTAAATATTTAGTGTTAAACATTTACTCGACTAATTAATGACAATAATTCTTTTGATAGCTTATGAACTATTTATATTTTATTGCATTATAATTACAATATATTCAAGTAAATTAAAATAAATATGGTTTTTCAAGTATTTGGCAAATTATTATACGCACTCAATATTCTAACTGAAACACCATCAGATAATCAATACAACATGAGTATACAAGTAATTTTTTAAAACTATTTAAAAGTATAACGTATTGAAGCAGATATAGATTCTGAATCATTATAAAGAAAATTATTTTGATATTTATATAATAATAGTATAATAAAAATTGATCACTTGTGGCTAACCAATTAAATAAAATTCAAACTATATTAAAAATATTATTAATTTAAAAACTAAAAGTATTAAACTCAAAAAGACTCAAAAAAATTACTGAAAAAACGTGGATACGTATTTCGGAAACAATGTTACAATTATTAACGCGCAACACTTACAGTGTAATATTTTGAGTTTTTTAATTATTAATATTTTTAATATAGTTTTAATTTTATTTACAATAACAGTTTTATTTTTTTACAAAAAAATATTTTTTTAAGCCATAATCTCACTTTTTTTACACGTTGATGGACAAAACCATATATTACTGTTATGACAGTAATATATGACGTCTGGGGTCACTTTTAAATATTACTACTATAACAGTGGTATATAAACTATTCTAAAAATGTTATTACTGATTAGCAGTAATATTTTCAATGATTTCTTATGAAGGAGGAAGTTGTTCTGACCCAATGCATCTCATAAAACCAGTGTTTGTAAAATACCATGTCATTAACTGTCCATTAACGTGTTAATAATTCGTTAGGCTAGAAAAGTATTAAAAGAGCATTTGTTTCATATTTTAAGGAGAGAAATTTTATAAAATTTATTGTTTTGAGCAACCACTAATTTGTCATAAGATATGTGTACTTATTAGAAATAAAAGCTTAAATAACAAACAAATTGAATAACTTAATAAACTCAAAACTCAGTTATAAAATAAAAATTAAATTTTTTTACTAACGATTTATATGTAGAACAAATAGCTTTATATGTACATAATAAATAGTATCATGAATTTTTAAAACGTTTACATTAATTGAATATTTTATTTTTTAGCGATTTATTTACAAAAATTAGAAAACATTTTTATTGGTTATAAATCATTTTTTAACTAAACGACTTATTTCAAAATCAATTTTTATATATTTTAGAACATTGAATGGATTAACAAATATCACGATGAAAATATTTACAGTAAAAAAATAATAAATTTATTAAACGAAGTAGAAACATATGAATTTAAAAATCAAAATACTAAAAGGACTTTTTACTTCGGAGAAAATGAAATAAAACTTCTTATAAACAAGTGTAATGAAAACTTCAACTGTTTAAAAGAAAAATCAAAAGCTATAGTTAAATATAAACAAAAAATAGAGACAGTGCAGTGCATCAATGCTGCTTATATTGAGTTTTTACTTCCTGATATAAACAAAGTGTTATCATCGCTACCAGTCAAATATATCTCAAAAGACACCGTACGTTTTTATCGACAGATAATCGCACGAATGCTCTCTTTAGTTTATATGGCTAACGTACCAGCACACAATTGGTTGTGGAATCTCTACTTAAGATTGCTAGAAGTAGAACATCAATGTGCAGGAATGTTAACATGTACCAATAAATTTTCAGAAATTCAGTTCAAAGATGATTTGACACAACATTTGAATCTATGCATGTCTTACAAGTATTTACCAAACACCAAAAACCAATGGCTGTCTGAAAAGATTAAGTATGAAGAAAATATTAGAAAAATACACTTAACACTATATGATAATAACAACAGCAAAGATTCGTATCTAAATATAATTTATTCGTTTGCCGAGCAGTTCGAAGTTAAATACCTTACAATTTTTAACATTCATAGTCACTATAGTTTAATTTTTAATAAGACTTCTGGTATGAAAATAAATTGGGAAAATACTAAGTTATTGATAATCATGGAAAAGGAAAGAATATCTAATAAACAAAATAATTCGATTATACATCCTTTTAACTCAACAAAGTATTTGGATATGATTAGAGGTGTTATCGAAGCTAAGCTTCTATTTCTTACATGGAGACATTTAATTGTTCTGCAAGTTAGTATAAAACGTGTAATTAAAGGCAAGAGTAACGCATATAATGCTAACAAAAACATGATTACCTATTGGAATTTATTGGTGACTCCTCTTACGAATACAATATATCAATTAAGTATCAATAATCAATTACTTAAAAACATAATAAACTACCTCAGAATCAAGAAAACTCCTTTTTGCTTTAGTCATGAATTTCGCAGTACTATAGCAATTATTATTAACCAATTAGAAAATACGATTAAAAATGATTTATCCGATCTCGGTGTATGTCCTCATGAAATACAAGAACTTTTTATAATTCCTCGTAAATTATACATAATTGATGAATATACAAATGTAAATACGTCTAGATATGGACGCTACGTTCATCAAATACAATCTTATGTAAATTCTATTCAAAATGCATTTCAACCAATCAATTTCGATTTTATAACATTTTTCAAATCAGGAAAGTCAAAAATTACAGAAACATTTTTCATGTATTAAATGGTAAAACATTTAATTTAATTTGTGCATTCATATAATTAATACATTGTTAAGTAAAAATCAAGTCTCAAATCGAATTTTGTTGAACATTTTTTTAAGAATCTATTTAACACATTGTAACTTTATATTAGATAATTGATCGAGAATCAAAATATATTCAGAAAATAGATCAAAATTGTCGTTAGTGTAACTTCATAATCATAATCAAAATTAAAATTTTATATTATGTAAAACGAAGAAAATCGATGTAGTTTTTTTTAATGATAACAATTATCTCTAGAAACATATATTATTCATACATTATAGCTATGCGGGTTTTTTTTAGGATTTTTTTTATAAAAATTATTATAAATCATCATACAATAAAATAATAAAAAAATTGTTGATAGGTCGATAACAATTTTAGGATGAATACTAATTTTGGCTTACAAGCATTTTAATACTTTGAGTGAGTATGTAGTGATGGTGAATGCAGCTGGTATTTGTGTATGNAATCGATAACTAGTTTTATATCATTACTTTTTTGTATGTATACATCGGCCGTTTTCCATACTCATTATATATGTTCAAATGCTCATAACTCAATGATAACATGTCCTAAATTTACTATCTATCCATCTATTTTAAAATTTTTAATAAAAATCTCATTTGCATTTTTTAAGTATCTTAAAAAGTATTTTAAGTAACTGAATCAAAATTTATTATAAACAAAAGCAATTACGCATAACCTTCTTTAAGTATTTTATTTGATTTTAAACATTTTATTTTAGCAAATATGAAATCTTTTTTCTTAGTAATAGATAAATATTCTTTGTTTTTAAAATACCTAAATAGTTGATATTTACAGCTGATTAAATTTTATATTTTTTATTTAAATTACGCATTCAACTGTTTTTTATGAAAAGCCAAAGTTTGATATAAATTGTAAATAACTTTGTAATTTTGATCTTATTAAGATCTAAAATAAATGTATATAATATATATCTATCTAAAGCTTTGCAACTAGATTGCTTCCCTTCTCAAGCCATTGTAAATAATATATAGTATCAAATACAAAATTTGCTTATTATGCTCTTTAATTATAAGTTGTATATAAATATTATTAATAATAAATTATATATATATATATATATATATATGGTTTAGAGATTTCAATTTATCCACGAAGTTAGTCAAAAAGGGGGTTTGCATGAAGCTTTGTTTTCAAATTGAGCAAATATTATAAAATCATACAAAATGGCTNAGAAGATAGGATAAGGAACGAGCATATAAGAGGAAGTATAGGTGTTGCGTCAATCGTGGATAAGATGACAGAAAATAGACTTAGATTGTTTAGTCATGGTATGAGGAAAGAAGAATCGAAAGCTGTAAGAACAGTTATAGAAATGAATGTTGAAGGAAGAAGAGATAGAGGAAGACCAAAAAAGAGATGGAGGGATGCTATTGAATGCGATTTGAGGACAGCTGATGTGAGCGTAGAAGATGTGGGAGATCGTGTCAAGTGGAATCTTAGGATAAGGGTGCCCGACCCCAAGTAGTTGGGATTAAGGCAAAGAAAAAGAAAAATATTACCAGATATTCCGGTGGCAATTGACATAATATTATTGTTATTTCGGAATGTACAATTTAGCGTTTAGTTGGGTTTAAATAATACAGCGTCAAATCAATTACCTACTCTATCGGTTG